CACTTTGCCGGATGTTCCGTTCTTAAATGATGTGGAACAACTGTTAAAACATCATGTCGATGCATTGGTTGCCGAACAATCCCAACGTCAACGCCAGCATGCAAAATTCATGAGACGCCAAGATGTCAACAAATATGGAAAACAACAAGCCTTCCAGGCTATCAGACCAGCAACTCCCGGCCTGGTTCAAGTAATCAAAATGGAAAAAACAATGCTGGCCACAAGAGCCCAAAATCCAGAATGGGGTTTAGTTCAGTTACATCTCCAAGAAAAATATGAGATTGACCTTCGAGCCCCAATCCAAATTTGTGGTCAACCAGCACAGATCATCAATTATGACTTCCCTTTGCTTGAACTCAATCCAGTTGAACCCATCGATGAACTGCCACTGAATGTAGTCCTCACCCAAACAATCCATACGGCAGACCCCAAAGAAGTTGCTGATGCTTTGCAAAAACACTGGGACCACTATTGGCAGCGTGACGATCCGACATCTGATTCGAATGCTAATATATGGGATGACTTTCACACTTTTTGCCGACAAATACCAGATGCACCCATTTTGGACATTGCACAAACTGACCTTGCAGTTTGGAAAAATGCAATTAAGTCCCTGAAATCACGTTCAGCAAGAGGCACATGCAGCTGGTTTCCAGATGAAATTAAATCACTCCCAGATGTTAGTATTCAAAAATTGTCCGAAGTTGTTGCCAATTTTGCTCCAAATGGTTTTCCAAAATGGCTCATGCAAGCAAAAACAATACCACTTGCCAAATGCCAAGAAGCTGACCACCCGGGGGCTACCCGCCCTATAACGATACTTCCGTTGTTGTATCGTTTGTGGGGGAAAGTTATCACTTCCCAGATACTTCAAGCTTGGAACATAAGTTTTCCACAGGCCATAACGGGTTTTCTCCCTGGCCGATCACCCACTAACTTTCAATATGGATTGCAACTGCACCTTGAATCACTTTCGAAGAAGCTCACTGATCGATATTTGAGTGGCCTGACTCTTGATATCGTCAAAGCTTTTAACTGTTTACCTCGATTTCCCACAAAAATCCTTGTTGAAAAATTTGGTGTCCCATCGACCTTGACAGAAGCATGGAACCAAAGTATTGAAAATTGCACTCGATGTTGGGCAATTGATGGACAAATATGGCCGCAGACGACAACAAGCACAGGCTATCCGGAAGGAGACGCCTGGTCAGTGGTGGCAATGCTGGCAATTAATGCCTATTGGGTTTTCCATGCTCTGCAAGTCACCCCCAAGATTGCAGCATTTGCAGATAATTGGAGTTACGGTACCGAAAATCCCCAACATCATGCGGTACTTATTCCTTTGCTGGACCGCCTGACCAAATCAGTACGATTAACAATTGATTGGTCCAAAACTTGGGGTTGGGCTACCAACGCCCTACACAAAAGTGCCTTAATCACCGCCAAAACCCAGCATTTGCCTGACGAAGTTGAAATTGCCATTGTATCAAATGCTCGTGATTTAGGCTATATAATCCACTATAATGCCAAACAATCCAGAGCCACCCAAAAGGAAAGACATGCCAAAGCGTTGACTGCACTTAAAAAGCTCAGACATGTTGATATCCCTCTTGAAGCCAAAGCGCAGATTGCAACCGCTTCTGCATTTGCTAAAGCCCTGTGGGGTACTTCCTTCTATCTTTCAGGACAACGTTTCTTTGAAGAATTGCGCGCTGAGTTTGCTCATGCAATTTTTGGCAATTACCACAACATTCAGTCACATGTTGCAGCCATGGCCTTGCTGAAAAGTGGAATGGACCCAGAATTGTACGTGATACATGCATCCATTCGCACAGCCAGACATTTTCTATGCCATGCCACAGACGATGAGAAAGAAATGTTTTGGCTTTTGGTCCGTCAGCCACTGCCACATGCAGCCACTATTGCGGGCCCGGCCATGGCCTTTAAGCAGTATATAACGAAACTCAACTGGACCTTGGAGGAAACGGGAAACATACGTATAACTGCTTTTACAGTATTGAACCTCATTGATAGCAACCTCAATGAAATATTGGATGCTGCCACAGATGCCTGGATGGAAATTGTCGTTGAAGTCACTGGTGGCCGAAAGCACATGCGAAATATGCCTCCTATTGATCGTGAAGCCACTATTGCAGCTTTTGCCACGGTCCCTGAAAAATTTAAGCTCAGCATGGGTCTCGAATCAACGGGAGGGTTTATGCTCAATTCTCAAAAGGCCCATTTTGCAGATCAAGTTGATGGTAAGTGCAATTATTGTGAAGAGATGGACTCACACAGACACAGAGTTCTCCATTGCAAAGCCACCCAAGAAGCCAGGGTTCAACATTCTTCTATTTGCCAGCAATTGGAAGAAGCTGAAGACATGCAACTTGCCTTTCCATTAGCTTATAAATCACCGGAAGACCAGTTTTTGCAAGATATGCTCTATCGCATTCCTGAGCCACACCTTGAGATGCCAAATGCCCCCAAACTAACTTGGGTGTACACAGATGGTTCTTGCTATTTACCCAACAGCCGAAGATATAGATGGTCTGCTTTTGCAATCGTGTGTCCAGCAGTGCCAATGCAAGCCCTACTGCAGTTGACCCAGACTCAACCTGAGGTTCTGCTCAGGAAAGCATATCATGTAATCGCAGTTTCAATAGTTCCAGGTAAGCAGACAATCAATCGAGCAGAACTATTTGCAGCCGTTCTGACGCATGAACAACAAATGAACGCGGTTGTGGTTACTGACAGTGCCTATGTCATCAATATGCATTCACTGGTTTGTCAAACGCGTAATGTAATGATTCTGCATAAACTGCCCAACTGGGACTTACTGAGAAGACTTCACCACTTGTATTGGAGATGTGATTACGCATTGCCGCACCTCAAGATCAAAGCTCATCAGAATATCACCACTCAAACTGCAGATGAAGTAATCCATATCTTGGGAAATCGCGCAGCTGATGAAGCCGCCAAACAAGCAGCCAAGCACCAAATGACGATTGTGACAAAGGACTTGCGCAGACTACATGCTGAATCTAGGACAGAACAACAAAACCTTACTGCACAGTATGCTTTAAGAGTAGATCTGGTTGTTAAACGCACGCGACTGGATAATGAAATTGAAACTACAAAAGCACCTGAAAGACAGATGGAACGCCTGTAGCAGATGCACAGCTATATCGTTGAGCACAGCCGTAAGTTTTCTTTCACAGAAGAGGATTTTCACAATGCGCGCAGCAGTAAATTTGGGAGACGCACTACGCATTTGCTTTTACAATGGCTTCAACAACTAGAATGGCCTACATCACCGGAGGAAGTTACACCACCAATTGGGATTACATGGGTTGAGCTGACCGTAAATTTCATGCTTTGTTCACAATCTTCAGTTCCGGTACAACCTCATCAAGAAGAACAGGGATTTACTATTCGAACCAACACCTTTCGCAATATCATTATGCATGTGCAGTTCCTCGTCAATAAAGAAATCATTCCTAAGCTTACACCTGTAAAGGTCAAATCACTTTATCAACTGGGGGCAAAGGTGCTGAAACAAGGGCTACCATTGCGTCCAAAACTTCCACTACAAGATGAAACTTTGGAAATCTTGCAAAAATACTTCAGGGAGCATGGCCAAAATGGTAAGGCCTGCTTCACGGCTATGCCTCACATTCCGTTAATGGATCCGGTTGTTACAACTGACTTGGATGAGACTTCTGAATTTACTCAGAAAGATCGCCAAAAACTGTACAGAGAACGCAGACAGCAGATGAAGGACGAGAACACCAATCTGGAACTTGCTGCCGACGACGATTAAATCTGTCAAAACGATGGGTATTTTAGCTAGCCAACAAACTGCGATGACCGGTGAACATCACAGGGGGAGTGGGATAACCTCCTTAGTAGTACTGGCCTTTATCTGTAGCATTGCTAGGAACCGAGGTGGTGGGTCCATCAAGCCTCTGTTGATCGCCAGTGTTTAACATCAAGGACTGTGTGGATGGGATTAGAGATGGTTTTAGTTCATGATAGGACCCTTCGCCTGGTCCCTCATTGACTATGGACGCAGTCTTCTCTTGCAGCTGCGGGGGGAAGGCTGTGGGCGCAAGCATGTGGGCCTTAATTCAGGTTGGTGAATTATTATAATTTACCCAGATGATTGATAATCCACTATTATTGTGGTCCCGTAGTTCTCCATCATAGTGAATAATTGATAATTATTGTAAGTTACCCGAGCGAATTTGTGGGCAAAACATGCCCTATCCCTTCCACCTTAACTGCCCTAGCTTGCAAGATATTTAGGACATTCCGGAAAACATGTTGGAAGCAGGGGGCAAGAATTTACCCAGATCAGATTTTTGTGGGCAAAACATGCCCTATCCTTCCCTGCAACTTTAAAATTATTAGTGCACCCCCTGGAAAATAGGGTTTAGCGATGAAAACACCTATTTGTATGGGACCACACAAGAGGGGTGTTTAGTATGAATGGGGCATGGGATTATAGATGGATGGATGGATGGATTGATAGAGATAAATAGACCAGACAGACAGACAGACAGATAGACAGACAGACAGACAGATAGACAGACAGACAGACAGATAGACAGACAGACAGACAGATAGATAGATAGATAGAGATATACTGAACATGTTCCCAACATGTCGATGGTTATGTTTGTTTGTTGATAAACCCCGTTAACTAGTCTGATCATGTCTGATGTATCTAAGGTAGTCCTACTTATAGATCAAGGTAGCTAACAAACTGGAGCATCACCTTGTTGAGACCTAAGTTTTTTCCCTGAAATGGATCTGAAAGGGTCGCTTGTTCGGGAAAGCGATGATTCACCCGTGGATGGACTTAGGCATTCCATTTTTTAGAGAAACCCATATTGAAATCCCAAGGCTCAGCTGTATTTTTGGAGAAATTCTAACAATGGCCCGGGCCCCCTTGGGGGAATGACATGGGTGAGCCCTTTTCCATCACCACCTGATGGATGATCCCGGAAGGTGAGAAGCACGCTGTGAACGATTACACCGTGAAGAAGTGCGTCCTTGATGCCAAAAGCGCCTTGGTTTTTAGTTGTAAAAGAACAATTCTTCTACAGTAGCTCACATGAGATCACATGAGCGGAACGTAGTGGAACCATAAACTAATCTAGATTTATATGAGCGACGGCTCTTATTTGCGTATATGGAAAGTAGTATTCGGACGTACCCCGGTTTGTCAAAAATATCATATTTAGCTTGTAAAACGAGGTAGGAACACCCCGAGAACGAGGTAGGCAAAAACGTTACGGGACTGGAGAACGAGGTAGGAACACCCCGTCAATTGCGTTATGTAACAAATATGGTCCGCGGCTCATATACTAACTATAATTAAGATCCTTCTCGGTTCCATCATGTTCCATCGCTTGGGTGACTATTTCTTGGTGACTTCCCCATTTTCGTTGGTGAATTCTGGTCGCCCGCAACGCAACGCACCGAGTCTAAGGAGACGGCTTGCCCCCGGCCACCTTGAAGAAATGGTGCACTGACCTGAACCGAGACTTCTACGTGCAGGACGATAGCCACAAAACCAGCTCAGCTGTGGTGGTGTAACCCCCAAATGGTTATTCTGAATAATTATTCTGGAAGAACGATGAGTTTGGGTATGTACCCGACTTTCAGACAAACCTAAATATCGGGACATTTTATATGACCAGAAATCAGGGTTGCAACCATCAGATATGAGGCTTTCCTGTAGGAAAAGGAAGTCATAAGACACATTGATGGGAAGTTTGAGCACATTCAAGAACATCCAGATAACAAACGTCTGTACCCTTTGGTTACTTGATATAGCTATAGAAAATGGCCTATTTATAGATGATGTATGTATGTTGATGTATGATGTTTTTACGTATTAAACATGGCGATTTCCATACCTACGTTCAATCACCAGTGGGTACGATTTCTATTTGGTTCCGCGTCATCTCATTTGGTAGCCACGCCAGCGGAAGCTTGGCAGGATGACGCAAGCTTCATCAAAGCATGGTCGGGGGACGTTGGGAGTAGCGGGAAGTCACAGGTGGATTTAGCTCAAACCTAGCTCAAACCTAGCTCAAACAAATGTCTCCTGCTGATTCCTGGACGGCGCGGGGAAATTTTAGCCATTTGGGTGGATGATTTTGTTCTTTACACCCCCAAGAATTTGAGATAGAGCCCGAAAATAGCTAATCAGCTAATCCAATCCAATGGTAAAATTATCTTGCAAAGACCATGTTTGGGGTGCCATGTTGGACTTAGGGTGGGTGCAATTTTCCACTAAATGTTAAGTTTTTGAAAAGGTCCAGGGCTTGCTGCTATTTCTGGAAGTAAAAAAGGTAGCATCAAACACGAGATTCTTGTGACGGATGGCCCCCCAAAGTCCGTTCAGACGAGCCTGCTCTTGAAGTGTAAACTATGTGCTTGGTGTTTCCCAGCTTTGAGAAATGTCAATTTTCAGGGACTTTTCCATTTGAAAACGTATGAGTCATAGACTTTTTGGCGGCCAAGTGAGATTTTGGTCCAAAGAGGTCAGGGGTCGCCCAGGGGAGAGCTCCGCGACAAGTGGGAAAAGAACAACAGCCGTAAGAAACGGAAGGAGCAACGGCAGCAGCGAGAGGGACAGAGTCAGGCGCGCCGCCATGGAGGGTTTTGGGTTTTTCGGCAGTGCAGTCATTGGAGAGTCCAAAGACGAGCCCAAAGCAGGACATGGAGGCAGGTCGGATTGAAACCTGAAGCATTCATAATATGTTCAGCTCAGATGCTGTTTTTTCGCCAGTTTATCGTTACAAACCTGTCAGTTGCCCATGTTTTCATTGATACTGGGCTATGATTGTGGGCAAAGCAGACAAGCCAAGCAATTTCACTCTGATTCATGCATGTGCAGAAGGTTAAAAGTTCAAAAGCATAACTTTGGACACAAAAAAATGAGAGAGACAAAGCATGAACATGATACAAGATAAGTGATAATCGCAAGATAAAAACCTCCAACCTGATCTAACTGATCTAACTTTAGCATACCCATCACATTACCATCACATGACCATCATATTCCCATCATATTCCCACGATATTCCCATGATATTCCCATCATATCTGATAATGATCTGAGCCATGACCGGTGGTCAGGAGCCTGAAGCAGTTCGACCCTGCCGTCGACCAAACCGGAGGGAACTGCGGGAACTGCGGGAAGAACTTCCTGAGGCCTGTCTGATAAAGACTGGTGTAATGGTGTGTACATTCCATGTATTATAGAAGATTTTATATAGATATATAGCCATATAGTATACTATAGTCACAACATAGCAAAAATATGTTCATGATATCATCATAGTTGAAATAACTCGGTGAATCCTTTGAGTCATGGTAGATACACCGAACGAATTAATGAGGTTTGTAGATCAACTTATTGGGACAATAAGCCCCCAATGTGGCAATCCAAAAAATACACTATCCCGAAGTTCACCTGAAATGGATGTATAAACCCTCCACAATTGGAGGTTTATTATTGGGTTTTTAGGCTTGCCCCATTACTGTCCGATTTTTGGTGAAATTGGAGTCACAAAACAGAAAATGAGCCCTGTATGTTAATCCCTTTTGTGATGTTTGTGCTAGCCAATGGTTGCCATGTCAGCGTTGATAGATCACACCCCTTGCCATGTCAGAAGAAAAACAGAACCCGGGGATACACTGGGGATTTGACCCCGGAAAAAGCGAAAATTCAGCGTTTCCAAAGATTTATCGGTAACAAACCGTTTGGAATACCCTCTGGTAATTTAACATAGCTATTGAAAATGGCAATTTATAGCGGATTTACCCATTGAAAATGATGATTTTCCATAGCCATGTTAAATTAGCAGAGGGTGACTAGAAAATTCCTGGTATTCCCACTCAAAAACAGGAAAGTGGATTTGTAGCACGGACATCGGGCCAGTAGTACGGACATATAGCCAGTCATTCTGGCTTGATTGTTGATACATTGGCATTTCGCCGACTGTGAACGGAGAAGTGAAGCGACAAGATTGTGCAAATAATGGACAACATGACTAAATTGTGTTGGAATGACATATAGTGACATATAATATCATATTAATGACATGTTACTTCATGTGATTCAAAGCCAAGTCAATCCTTATGAAAAAGGCATCTCTCCACTCAAACACCCACCCGACCAACATACACAAGCGCAAGCGCCTCCTGCATACAAAAAATAAGTCACTCCAGGGTTTTCCTGATGAACGAATACAATCTTCGGTGAGACATCGGTAGCAAAATGAGAGGTAGTTCCTATCTGTACATGCTACATGATTGTCCTGCTAGCCTGTTTAGTCTTTGTACTGTTCATATTCTCACCTCTGTTGACAATCCTTCAATGCTCAACCCTCATTTTTGGGACTTTCCTGAAAAAGTCAACAAGTTCACCACCAAAATGTTTCCGACCGGCAGGTGTTAGCAAGCCTGCAAGCTGCGCGTCAAGATGTTCAGCAAGGCGATTTTTTAGACTCTTACAGTACCTACCATGCTTGGGTTTGGTAGGTAGCCATAAAAATGGGCGATCCATTCAAGAATTAGTGGCAAAATCCAGAAAAAATAAACACATATGATGCAGTGATGCATCCAAAAGTTGTTGGTCAAGAGCATGGTGGGAGATCTTATTGAAGCCCTTGCCCTAGAATAAGCCACAACTGCAGTATCTAAAAAAGTGCTTCAAGGGTTTTTTATAACTGCAGGTCCTATAGGTCATCAGCCACCAAGAGGACTGTGGCTCCTCGTGACCCCATTATTCTCCAGGTGTTTGCGATTCTCTGGAGAGAGCCTTTCAGTTGCAAGGGGGATTGGGGGGATTGCTGGACCGCTGAGATTGTTAACATATGCACCCCGAGATGGTCGGAAGAGGGTATCGGAGTAATCTGAGCATATCATTACAAGATATTGAATTGTATATAATTTCCACTCCAGCTTCTTGTTTTGCGTGTACTCTTTGGGCCTCATGTTACTGGCATGTCACAATGAAGGATCATCAAACCTTTAAAAGGCAAGCCACAACTGAAGGAACGGCATGTGATCATATTGTGGTGTGATTTGATTGACGCCCATGTTGATGCATATTATATTGTATTATATTGTGGCCTTTGCGTTGAATGCTATGGTTGATTGACACCAATGTTGATGATACAGAAGTAAGCAAAAGCGTTGAATATTGTGCCCTTCGCTTTGGAAAAAATGGGACGCCATCAAAACACCGAAGTGACGAACATCAACAGGGGACCGGCTCAGAATTTGACATGGTCTCCGAAGCGGTGATTGGGAAGCGAGATACCTCTCTGTTACTTCAAATCTAGGGTTGATGTTTTTTCAAGTGGTGACACCAACAAAGAGATATTCTGGGTATCATGCAACATGCCTTTCTTCAAACATCCTGGTGCACCATTGTCAGCGAATCTTCGCCACAATGAAACAACCATTCATTTGCGCCAAGTCTGGTTTCCTCACAACGACCTCACCATGTTTATCAATGTGCGGGAAATCATCTGGATCATTACGGCTTATTTAAGGTTTGGTTAACCCAGTTAAACATGAGAGAAGCCCACAGCTCATGGGACATACCTGGACTGCTAATGACTGCTAGACTTGTAAAGCATGGCTGCTATCGTTCTTCAGGGGTTCCCAGCTCAGGGATTATGATAGCCCCCATTAATTAATACACAACGGGCCGGGGTCGTATAACCTCCCAAAAATCATGAGCCAACCATTATTTTATCAAGATTTATCAAGTAGATTCACATATGTTTGGTCGAAATCCTTACGCACGATGGTTTGGATCGCCATGAAACAACTGATGCCCGTCGGCAAGCAAACGTGGCAATGGAAAATCCACCGGTCATATAGTAGGTAGATGATTTTCCCATTCCCATTCAAACATGATAAAACATTCAAACCTCCATTTGCCAGGGGATTTCCCAGCTAGCCATGTTTGATGACACTGGAGGTAAATACTAATTATTGTTGGTTATATACCCATTATTGCCAATTATATATATTAGATGATGTTCCCATTATGTTCACATTATTGCTTTAAAACCACCATTAACTATAGACTAAATATATATATATATGTGATATAATATAGCCATCATGTGAATTAACTATAGGTATGTAACCACCAATATTTTCCCATCAATGACTACAGATTAGTTCCACCATTAACTACAGATATATGATGAAGCATGATGATGTATGTCTCATTCACCAACTGGATGGTTTCCGATCACCAAGGCTCTAGCGGTTCACCTTTCTCTACTTCTGGGCGCTGATGCCATCATGGTGCTGTCAGCCCTGCAAGGTGGATTTCTCATTCTGCTACCTTTCGACCTTGATTGAAGTAAAGCATATGTTTCAGTTGCACACAAACCTGTATATTATATAGTCTTATGTGTATATTAGATGTGTATTTATATGTATATACGTACGTAACGTAACGTAATGTAATGTAGTGTAATGCAAGGCAAGGCAAGGCAAGGCAATGTAGCGTAATGTAATGTAAGTATATATATATATATGTCTATGTCTATGATATGCACATGTATATGTATATGTATACATGCAAATGCAAGTATATTGTTTGTATGCATCTGCGTTTGTGTCCATATGTATATTGGCAATAGATAATTCAGTTTGGATTTAGATCAGATCACTGTGATAGAATTTTGCATGGAGAAGCTTTTCCTCCCCCCCCTGTGCAGACTTTTCGGGGTAGTCCTTGTGGGACGAGAGAGAGAGAGAGAGGGAGAGAGAGAGAGAGATAGACGGATAGACTATCCAGAGATAGTTAGATACATAGCAAAAAAAAACAATCCCTTCGGTTATTTGTTACATAGCGAACTGGAAAATGGTCCATTTATAGAGGATTTTTGATGATTTATCTATCCAAAATGGTGATTTTCCATAGCTAATTACGTTAAATAACCAAACGGTAAAAAGGAAAACCGCTTTCCGTAGATGTATGCATGTACAGTGTACAGATATGCCCAGTTATGAAATGAGATGCACAATCCAGTCGCAGAGAAGCTTCGATATCCGCAGGAGACGGCAAGCTTCTTCCAGAAGATGCTTGGGCTGCAGGGATTGGTGTAGAAAACCCAAGGTTTACGAGCCATTGCCCTTGAAATTACGGTTTTCTCTATGTCTATATATTATCCGTCCGCATATATATATATATATACATACATATACACAAGTTTTTTAAGTGCATATGCGTGTGCTTTTTAAAGAGAGAGAGAGAGAGTCATATGCAGACGTAGGTAGCATACAGTACCTAGATGTACTGTTTCCATGCATGCACATAGATTCCCTTGCACACATCACCACACACACACACTCTTCATGGATATATCAGCTATTCCTTTTTTCAGCAAAAACTGAAACCCAGTGTGTGGTAGCCCCCAGCTGCAGGCGCTCCCCAGCACCCAAACGGCCCTACGTGCACTTCTGGCTGGCGCCGCAGGCAATTTTTTTGGGGGCTGTTGTGGAGATGCATTCCCAATGGAGACTGGTACTGTACTAAAAAAAACAAGACATTATAGACATCCAACCATATTCAACCAATTCAAGTTCTCAAACTATTGGAATTTGAACCGGATATGGGGGCGTGCGGAATCCAATATTCCACGTTGGAATGCGTAGAAAAATGGTGACCAGCCATTCCACAGCAACATGACAATTTTAGGGTTTGCGTAATAGGATAAGACTTAACCTAGTGAACAGTGAATCTAAATACATAAATTTCACATGAGCAGCGTTTTTTAAAATCAGGATACAGAAAAATAGATAAAGTGGGAACTGCACAAGATATATTATGCCCCACGCGTAGGCTCCCATGCAGACGGCGTAGGTTAAGTAGGCATTGGCGTAGGCTCGTGTTTGCCTATACACCGCGTAGGCTTCGTGTAGACACGCGTTGGCAAGAGTTAGAACTCATTAATGTTGTTTTGGTTGTGATATTTGTGGTTTGTGGTTCCAAAGCCTCATGCCACAATCGAAAACAAAAAGAAGGCATGGCCGCGTAGGCAAAGCCTACACCGCGTAGGCTCGGGTAGGCACCCCTTAAAAACAAGGATGTAAAACACTACTCACATGTCCAGTTTCAAGATCCGTCAGGCGTATAGATTATACATCTTCAGGAGGATTCTCATTCTTTGCTCGCTCAAGAATGGAAGCACTTCGTGAAGTTCCATTTGCAGATCATGTTTCCGGAAACAGGGCGACCTCCCACATCATCCATAGTTGGACTATTTATTCGTGAACGACCATGGATTTCATCATCCCACATGGAAAAAACGGGGTTGAATACAATGAAAATGCACAGCAATTTGAAGTTTCAATCTATCTTGATATTTAATGTGTGAAGTCCAAGATATTCCATGAACCTTCCATGCTTGGAGGATCATTAAATTTAGTGATGGATTATCCCGAATTATCCCATTTCATCGGAAAAAAATCAGTTGCTAATCAGTTACCATTCGTGAGGTGATCCATGAAGCTTCCAGCAACTCCCATAGCTATGGAAAATCACCATTTTTCATGGCTAAATCAACGATTTCTATGGTAATTTTCAATGGCAAAGTCCCCATGACCATCCAAAGACCCGCGGAAGCCGCAGGTCCACTGATGGCCGTGAAGCAGTTGGCTCTGCTGGTGCATCCCGATAAGACACAGCACCCGCGTGCCGTGGAGCATCGTGGAGCTTCTGCAGACGCACAGTCTGTTGGGCACGGAGAAGAACCTGGCGACTGCTCAATGATTTTTATATGACATTGATATACCGTACCCTCTGGTTATTGAACATGGCCATGGAAAATGGCCATAAATGGCCCATTTATAGGTGGTTTACCTATTTAAAATGGTGATTTCCAATAGTTACGTTAGTTTACCAGAGGGTACATGGATTTTTACTGGGAAAATTCTGGCAGTGAGATTTTGGGGCGCCCTTTTTCAGGCAGACCTATTTGAAGGATTGATATACGGATTTTGAAGGCATAGGCTAGATTTCGTCCTAAATTGACATCAGATGTGAATAGCATTTATTTTTGATGCTTTGATTTGATACATATCATAAAACGAAGGGTGTACGGGTGTACCATCCAAAGTCTATACCTTCCAGGTATGCAAGGGTTGACGGCTCCAGTGACTGGAACTTGCCCAAGGGATGCCCAAAGTGATTCAATTGAAACTGTTCATCTACACATAATGAAACCTCTACTACTAACCCCTGACTAATTAGAGTGATGAACCCCAAAATAGCATTTGCTAAAAAATCGACTGCCCACCCAGTTGGATGAACAGTCGAGGGGTGTTAATAACATGTTTTCACACAATTCGGATCCGGGGGTTGACAATGTACCGTATTGATCCATATATTGTACCATCCTTTCTACACATCTCTCAGGTGCCAAAGAAGCGTTCCAGCGCTTGGCCCCAGAATTGCGCCGAGTGAGCGAGTCGGATTCATGTTTGTGACCACACCTGGGCGTGTCCCACGAGCCGGGTACAGATGGTACGGGCAAGTCTGGAAACAGATGGTAATATAGTATGTCCCAAAATTTGCAGAGTTGCAACGGTTATACAAATCAGTTTGTGTTTTTGTTGGGGGGTTCGATGGATGCTTAATACAGATACAGAGGCTTAACAGGTGAGTCGATCCAGGAGCCCAAAATGATCAAAATTGGTGGGAACCCCTCTTTAAGAAAAGACAGGTGTTTTACTCATCCTCGGGTTGACGCTACTCATCTTCACCCTTGTGAAACCAAAGAGATCAACCCTCGACTTTGACAGCCAACACAAAACATCCTGCTGCATCATGCTGGACACATGCCCGGAAAAGACGCTTCAACTGGTGCAGTTACGTAACTTGTACAGTAGGGAGGCTTCAGCAGGGCCTGAACCTTGGCTGAAACCCAGTCTGACAACGCTGCGAAGCGACAAATAGAGACCAGTATACTGGCACCTTCCAAACGGCCATCGGCAACGTTACTGACGTCCACAATCATATATGAAATTATTATTATATGTAATTTAGATATCTGATCTGCATAATGCATATATTTATCTAGTCTATATTGCATTATATTGCGATGAGAAGTACGTTTAAATATGTTTTTAACATCTATCCCGATAGGAAAAGGGATTCAGGGCTCAATAATTTCAGTCCCTGAGGACGATCATCTCAGGGGGCCACCGTGCCACGGGCGTCAGGACACCGATATCGACCTACATGATCCATCGAATCTTTTTTCAGGTTGGTGAACTGTTATGGGGCACTTGAGTACTTTAGAATATGTTAAATCAACCAGAAAAATTCTCAGTTATCTAAATTGAAATTATCCACAATTCTCAACCTGAAAAATGGGGCACTTGAGTACTTTAGAATATGTTAACTCTAGGCAAGAAGTGGGGTAATGAACTAAGCAGCTAAGATGGTTTCTCTAACATCTTCCAAGGCCTCTCTCAAAACGGCCCCTAAAATCACACCATGGATTTTCCACTTCAGCAGGAAACCGCACACAGCCTTGGGTAGTGCCGGAACATGGCCAGTGAAAGTAGATGATTCACCTACAAAACAATGGAGGTTTTCCAGATGGTTTGCCATAGCAAATTCTTGATCACCAGAGGGCTAAATTCTCAACAACCTGCATCCTTTTCAAAGATCCCTAGGGCTCTAGGCACCGCCGCACCGCCTTTCCTTTTTGTCTCACCTGCGGTGGTGTCATGAGAATCCTCGACAACGGATCCACTACAAAACCAGGCTTTCGGCCGGGCTCTTTTCTTCATTGGGAGGGATGATTTGCTCCATTTCCGCAGGCATTTGGCTATAGGGCGCTAGAGAATGTCCGGAAGTCCAAGAGGGCTCTTGTTCCCCGTAATTAATTGAGCACCTACATCTGAACGAAGCCCAAATCTGCAACAGTTTGTTCAAAAAAAATCAGGGTGCCCCAAGCTGACATTCAGATGTCTCAAAAGATGATAAGGACATATAAGGACAAAACTTATTTGATTTGAAACATTGAAAAACAATTTTATGTATTAATAGAACCGCATCTAGTTGGTGATTCATACCCAAGAATATCTTCACCAAAAACAACCGTAATAAACCTTGAAGGATGAGTTGTTCAAGACATTCCTGAGCGCTTGACTGCGATGCCGCGCCGCCTGCTGGAGCTGGGGGGATGGATGTAGATGGATCGAAACAGAAAAACGACCTTGAAAATAGTCCATTTTCCCCCATAGATTAGTCTAGATTACAGGATATATACCTTTGCAATCCTGTGCGTCTTCAAAATGAATGCTTAACATGGTTTAAGCCATCCTGAAATGGTGCCTTAATTGCACATGCCAGGTTCGGGACCGCAACATGAATAGATCATAATAGATCCAATATCAAAGAAGGATTTTCTATGGGATCCTGTGCTTCGCATTGTTTCACATTCGGGGACCTTGATTTGTTGGGATGGGGTCATGGGGGGTCTATGTTTGGGCGGTCCCTTGTTGCATCCTTATGCCACAAAAAAGATCAAGGAAGTGGATATATATATATATATATATATCATATCATATATATCATATATATATATATATATATCATATACATATAATATATATATATATCATATGGATATTATATATATAGAGATATATAGAGATATCATATCTCATGATATCCCGTCTAGAAGTCCTGCTTACACAGGGCCGTACTTGTTTTGTTTGGGCCCTGGACAGCAGATATTTACAGTCAGATGGCGTTGCCACTGATCTTGCCAGTGCCGGTTGTAACTAACTGCCGGGGTTGTTGGCACTTGATTCGATGGGATTCAGACTGAGAATGTCCATCTCTGGTGGGGCCCTGATAGGCCGGGATCGAACTATAGCCCGTTTGATCGCTCATGGAGACATGTAGATTAGCCTCCTGGAGGATTTTCTGGCTTAGTACGGCAAGGTTTGCACGCACGTTTGCGGTAAACGTCGCCGGGGGATGGAGCACCAAAAAATCACAGGGAAATGGAGGGACATGCTCGCAACATCTTGCAACACAGATAAGCCAATATGACGGTGCAGGTCCGGCTCAAATGATTCATTGGCCATCCAGGATTTGGTGGTAACTACTCTGCGGTCCAAGACAAGCTGAGGAGTGTGCAAGAGATTCAGGCAACATGGTGCGCATTCGCCGCCATCCTGGAAAATGGTTCTGTCATTACATGGGGTGATGAAACATTTGGCGGCGATAGCTCTACTGTCCAACATCAGCCCAAGGCTGTGCAGCAGATTCAAGCTACGGCAACTTCATTTGCTGCGATCCTCAAAGATGGCTCTGTCGTTACATGAGGCAATCAAAGATTTGGTGGTGATAACTCTGCAGTCCAAGATCAGATAAAGGGAGTGCAGCAGATTCAGGCCATGGGTGGTGCATTTGCTGCCATCCTGGAAGACCGCTCGGTTGTTGTATGGGGCCCCCGAGGATTTGGTGGTGACAGTTCTCCGGTCCAAGACAAGCTGAGGAAAGTGCAACAGATTCAGGGCTCGGTTCGTGCGTTTGCTGCGATCCTGGAAGACGGTTCCGTCGATCCAGCCTGAGCTCTGTCCAAAACAGCTGAGGGACGTCTAGATCCACATCAGCTTGTCTCCGTTTGCACGGCAGAAGAACTCAGAAGAACTGGCCTTGTTAGCGCAACTTCAGCTGCCACCTGTTGAAAAAACGGATGCATCACAGTTTACCAATAGATCACATTTCATCTTTCAATGCTGTAGCATTGCAAAGTTAATGCTGAGAAAAATGTGGTGGAATGGCCCAATCCTTAAGAAGCTGGATGCTCCCTGAGTAGCTGAGACCGGGGTCCTAGTGAGCTTGGTAAGCCCAATCTTTCATGAATGATTTTTTAAGGTCTATTCAACTGGAAGACATGCCAGTTTGTTGCTGTCTTCCAACTATCAAGAACTCTATCCAGATGTATAAACAGCATGCGTTTGTCTAAGCTATGCATTTTACTATAGATAGATAGAAAGGTAGATAGATAGAGATATATAGAGGTATATAGATAGAGATAGGTAGAGATAGATAGAGATAGATAGAGATACATAGAGATATATAGGTAGAGATAGATAAAGATAGATAGAGATAGATAGAGATAGATAGAGATAGATAGATATCGATAGATATCGATAAATATAGATAGATATAGATAGATACAGATAGATATCGATAAATATAGATAGATATAGATAGATACAGATAGATATAGATAGATACAGATAGATATAGATAGATACAGATAGATATAGATATATAGATACAGATAGATATAGATAGATATAGATAGATATAGATAGGTAGATAGATAGGTAACAGGTAGGTAAATAGGTAGATAGATAGGTAGAGAGATAGGATAGATACGATAGATAGGATAGAGAGGGTATATAGAATATAGAATATATAGGATGGATAGATAGAAAAATAAATATATAAATAGATAAATAGATAGATAGATACATAGATAGGCAGATAGATAGATAGATAGATAGATAGATAGAAGATGATGCACATGTGTATGTAGCTAGCGAGTTCGATAGATAGACAAATCAATAGATAGATGCAGAGATAGATTGATAGTTTGAAGGAAAACAATCATAACAATATACGAATACTACTATAGATACATGCATATACTTACATAATCGCGTATTGAGTTTCAGTTGGATTTGCAGTTGCACAAGCATAATACATATTATATATATGTATAGTATACGCATCATAAATATATAAATGTATATAATATATATATATATATCTGTGTGTGCGTGTTGTAGTATATCATGCAAACAGGATGTAATGGATCTGAGATCCTCTCCGCACCAGGAGCTTTGCTTCCTCTGCGCGATCGCTTCGGCCGGGAACGATGCATGTGTCGATGGCAAAGCCTTCAGCAGCAGCAAGAGCAACACCAGCTGCAGCTGCAACTCGGCGACGCTATGCGACGAATGACTTGTTGAATGAATATGAATGAATATGAATGAATCATTGAATGGTGGAGAAGGCATCCATATATGAATATTAGATATACAATGATATACTGCTAGAATATCGGACTACGTGTTCGATGACCATGATGACAAGATGTTGGGCACCACGAGATGTTCCCAGACAAAAACGTGCTGATCATTTGATGCTTTTGGCTGGTCGAGGCAGCCTCGGGTTGCTGGTGAAATCCGGCAGTTTGCTGCTGTCATCGCTATTTGTAGACCACCCGAATTCACCTTTTCATGGGGAATTCGGAATGTTTTTGTCTTTGAAGCAGCACAAAAAAAACGATGATCAAATTCATAATTATATGAACTGAGAATTTGATTCTTTGAATGTTGATTGTCGCTGTAGGGGTTCCATCACTGTTTGATATTCTTGGATGCAACCCTGAAATCATCGGTGAATCGCCAATTTCTTGATATTTTTTGCCTCCTCAAAAGGTGATGTCCTCCAGTTATAAACTGGTTTATGAACCCATGAATTTTATATATATATATATATATATTATTATATTATATATATATTTATTTACCATTATCTTCCATAATTAAACCATAGTTAAGTTAGTTCAAAACCACCTTAGATGACCCGGATCCTTTCCACCCCTGTCGCCCAGGCGACCGCAACGACGACAACGCTTCGGCGGGTCCTGCGCCGAGCTGCCTGCTGCACTCTGACGAGCGACGGGTGGTGCCCTACTTCCTGTGACTGGGCGGTGGTCGCCATTGGAACCAATCCATTTGAGTTACCCTCTGGTAAACATACAAATAGCTATTGAACATGGCCATTTATAGTGGATTTTACCATGAAAAATGGTGATTTTCAATAGCTATGTTACTTTACCAGAGGGTACTTAGCATAAGGCCATAATTATTTGGGGGTTCCAAAAAAAAAACAGGTACCCCAACAGCTGGATGCTTAATGGAAATCAATGGATGATTTGGGGGTAAGCTACCAATAAGTAGCATATATCAGATCATAAAAGGCACTGTATATTGGAACTGGTCTTATTGGGACTGATTCAATGGCCATGTATAAGGCCTTTTTTCCGGGCTAAATTTTGGGGAACATCCCTACAAAATATGGCCTTATATGGTACAGTGCCTCCATTTGATTTACATTTGTCATGGCGGAGATTACTGAAGAGGTTGATAAAACAATTTATCCAACTCATCAGGGCGGATGCGGTGAAGAATTTGGCGCAACAAACATCGGCAATCATTTTAGAACAACATCAGTCAAAAATGCAAAACAACGGGATTTTGTTATAACTAAGTTACAACTGATTGGTGGTTTGGAACATTTTTCCATATATTGGGCATCCCAACTGACTAATATGTTTCAATGGGGTTGAAACCACCACCAACCAGATAACCGTTCATACCTAAGAAATTGCAGTTTCACCACAAACAAATGGATTCAACATGATTCAACCGAGAAAATAATGCGAATCAAACGACAGCAAAGAAGAGAGTTGACTCATGAATACCATTTGAGATTTAAAAAACAAGTGTCCGTTTTTTGCTGATGAAATTTGGTAGTCCCCCAAACAGACCACCACACCTCACCTCACCAGGTTGGATTTGTTAAAGTGGGCATGTTCAGGAAACAAAACTGGGATTGAACTGACAACGTGTTGGAACCCAGCGAAATATGGAATCTTGTAGATCTATCAGAAGGAGAAAATGGTTTCAACATGATTTAACAAACAACAAGCAGGATATAGATATCTTGGAATCATTGGATGATTAGCTACTCGTAGCTAGGTATATGGAGGTTTCCTAAAATGCGGATACCCCCAGTTCTCATCCATTTATAGATGGATTTTCCATTATAAACCATCCAGTTGGGGTACCCCCATTTACGGAAACCCCCATATCTATAGATATAACTCGCAGAATCATTGGATTTCATCGACTTCGCCCAGCGCGGCCAGCGCCCAGGGAGCCTGATTCCGAAAAGCCTCTGCCTGTGAAGGCGATGGAGGCAGGGAATTCTTCCAAGCTTCTGGAGAAGAAATCAACTGGGTCAAACTTGGATGGATACCCTCTGGTGAACTAACATAGCAATGGAAAATGGCCATTTATAGTGGATTTTCCCAGCTATAAAATGGTGATTTTCCATTGCTATGTTAGTTCACCAGAGGGTACTTGAATCTGTTTACCCTCTGGTAAACTATCCCATAACTATGGAAAATCGCCTAACATCGCCACATTTTATGGGTAAATCAACTATACTGTATTATCGACTGGGCCATTTTCAATAGCTTTTTGTATGTTTACCAGAGGGCAATCTATGTGCTATAAATGGTATATACATGCTGTATATATATATATATATATCTATGCCAACCAGCTATGTGCTATAAATGGTGAGGAAATCTGGAAATCGAAGATGTCCTGTCGACATTCCCTTCCCGAATCCCAGGGATTTCTTAAACTCGGTTGTGACTGGTTGTGACCATATTCATCCATATTCCATACTGGTATATGAGTTGGAGATTGAATTGTTCATTGGATTATACATGAATTCAATATCCAATGAATATCTCATTTGTCAACTTTTGATTACTGGATATTGTTGATTAGTTGAATATCCGTTGGATATTGAATTGTTGGGATGATTCATGGAGGACCCGTTCCCAAACGCTCACAACTCACAGCTCAAGTCGGTCCCCATAAGGGGCCGGGATCTATGTACAGATCCCGACTTTCACAAGTCTTTCAGATTGTGATGGATTGAAAATGATTGAAACCATCAACATTACTATTGAAACTTATATTCCTGATCAACTAACATTACTGATTGTTCAAGATCATTCTCTTGTCCCATCGCTTTCTCCTGTTGATTTTTCTCGATCGCACCAATGAATGCCCCCATTTGGATTTGGGTGTCACCTCCTTACAAGGTCGTGCCTCCCCAGTTATAAGTTAATGTGTCAACATCTGTAAACCATAGTAACTGTAGATAATTCTACCGCAAACAAATACATATATAAAGTATAGTTATAAGTTATCATAATCCCCATTAACAATATAGATATAACCATATAATAACCATCATAAACCCTATTTTTTGGTGTTTTTAACTTGCCAACGAACTGGGGCACCACCTTGTGCTTCAGCCGCATCAAGGACCTCTATTTCTTTGAAACGGAAAACGCCGCGGTGGCGATCGCCCACGGCTCGTGCCCAAGTGGATTCGCGCGCCCCGCAGATGGCCCAGGGCTTCGATGGTCCCGGGATGACCTGACTGACCAGCTATATCTGGTTGGTGCTTTGGAACATGTTTTTTTTCCCAATACCCGGCCTGGTTATGTCAAAATAGCTATTGAAAATGGCCCAGTCGAAATAGTGGATTTTCCCAGCTATAAAATGGTGATTTTCTATAGTTATGTTAGTTTACCAGAGGGTAGTTGAGATGATGATCCAATCTGACTTTCATATTTTTCAGAAGGGGTTGAAACCACCAACCAGTCATGGGATTCTGGATTACTGTCAACCCCGGATTAATAAACCATGGTTCATTAATTAGGGGGGTACTCCTCCAATAGTCATAATCTGATACTTAAATGGTACCCTCCCAATTCAACGGCCGAAAAAGGGGTTTATTAATCCAGGGTTGACATTGTGTTGGAATATGGTTGGAATATTACTGGAATATTACTGGACATATTGATGGGATCATGGAATACGAAATTTCTATAGAAATTTCCATCACCAACTGATTGGTGGTTTGCAACATGGCTTTTATGACTTTCCCATCATATTGGGAATTTCATCATCCCAACTGACGAACTCATATTTTCAGAGGGGTAGGTATACCACCAACCAGGATAATATGATATTTGGGTGTGGACCTGACAGTGTGATATGCTTCCCCATTGTATGGACACTTGAATAGGTGGAATGAGGGACCCAAGTTTCAAACAAACACATATTCATAGATTTGTTGAAGGCGACCTTTGGTGAAACCACCATTTGGGAAAAATATATATATATATATATGGGGGTTACTTTTTGATTTGTGCTATCTAATTTTAAGCAAACACCAGATTTGCCTAAATGATGGGGAGCCAAGGAGCTAAGAGTTTCCCGGCCACATGTAGGCTAGCATGTGTAATGTTTTTTGTTCTGGATTCATTGTCGTTCAGGTGACATGTTGTATCCATTGGTGTCCGATGTTCTTGGCGATGCTTTTCGACATGTGACTGAGATGTTGGTCTATACATCTCCAGATGTTGTAAAGCCCCAGATTTATATGAGTTTTGACCCCGGAATTGTCTTTAACAAAAACAACTACATGAGACTTCGCCAACTGAGGTGGGATTCGCGAACTCCCGGACCCCGGATTTTACAGCCCTTCGGCTTCACCCCATAGGGTGATGTTCCGTTGAAACCCTTGGACGAGAATCTGGTGATAGTTCGATAGTTTCCCGTCTTTGGAAGTTGGTGAAGAATCTGCATTTCTGGGGACTTGAAACCCTGTTTGCCCCCCCATAATCCGCTGTCTCCGGCACATCTCCTGTGCGCAGAATACTCGCCCAGCTATTTGTCTCCTGGATTGGTCCAGTTCATGGGGTGCGAGCAGGTGGGGTGAAACGTGACTGGCTTTGGGTTGGTCAACTGAAGAATTAACTTGAATGGGTATTTCCACGGCGAAGGCGGAAGGGGCACTTACAGCCTTGGCTGGTACAAAAGCAAGTCTATGTTGGTACTCAGAACGAATATCCTTCCAACCAGGGATCAGTTCCTTAGGGATTGACTAGTGTCAGATGTCATCAATGGCAGGGGGTACCAAAAAGATACTGCCGAAAAGTCTTTCCACGATCTATCACTAAGTTTTTTTTACCCAAACCATGTTTCCAACTGGACGTCTTACAGAGTGTCTTGCAGATAGTCTTTGAATATAAATGTGACCTCCTGGTTATTTAACATAGCTATGCAATCTGGATCGTCTAGTTCGATGGTTTATGATCATTTGCCTCTTAAAAATGATTATATTCCATATAGTTTTGTTAAATAGCCAAAGGGTATTATTCCCATAACTATCCCATTTTGTTTGTGAATTTCCCATTAATCACAATCAATCATAATTAATCACCATTAAACCACCATTAAAAAAACAATCCAGGCTTCCAATTTATCCATCAATGCAGTTCAAGGTGAGTTCACACATCATCCACAACTGATATGGCCAATGAGTCAAAATCCTGGTAGCCATACCTATATAGGATACCCTCAAAATGCATCGTTTTTTCATGGATTTCTCCCCCAGCGTCGACAGGTTCACTGGTAACTTGACCCATCGCCAGGTGCGACGCTGCCCACCGGGCTACTATTGCTCTCGAGGGGGGCTCAACCCACCTTTGGCCTGCGGCAAAGGGGTGCTCTGTAATGAGTCCGGCTTGGTGACGCCCAGGCCTGTCAGGAGATCCGGGGCGACAAGTGATGAGAAAAAAAAACACCGTTTGAGTGGAGAAGAAAAAACATCATATGACATCATATTTGAAGGGTTTTATTGGTTTTATATGGTTTTATGGCAGGAAACTCAGCACAGGTCTGAATTTCTCGATTTGAAGGCTAAATTTGCAGGAACTGGCAGTGACAAATCCAAAGATCAACGAAAAACCACCATTTGCCGAGGTTGTTCCCTTCAAACCTCCCCTTTAGCTTTTCCCAGACTTCTTGGCTGCATTTGCCCTCACCAGGCCTTGCCCTGCAGGCTTCTACTGCCAGGGAACCTAGAAGGTGAATCTGACCCCAGGTGTGATCAGAGTCAACCTTGGTGAAGGATAGTTTCATACTTACAATTCATAAGGTGTTGCAAATTTCATGGACAAGTTGATTTTTGTAGCTTGTTTGAGATTGGCGATGTAGAATCAGGACTGGGATTCTGGCTGCATAATACGTCCAAGATCAAAAACCCCAGTGCTCAAACTGTTCTTACAATGGTTCCTTTGTCACCCCATTGTTCGAACCATACCGACTCAACCAAAATACAAGTCATTATATACCTGTAGCCTCGTTCGTAGCATTGTTTTGCGCATTTGCAATCCATACCATTTCTAAAAACGTTAATGAATTCCTAGAAAACGCACAAATCTTCAGAAATCACATGTTTTTTCATTTTTGCATAGCGCATGGCCCCTGCAAAGCTATTTGGGCTAGTCTTGACTCAACCAAAGTTGCTTGGGCCAAAAACGATCATTGTTTGTGTTTTGGTCTAAGCCGTACAAATTGCAACCGGCAAAAAGAGCGCAAAAAAAACGCAAAACGAGCGCACATTTCCGCAAACGGCTAGACGTTAGTTGGGTGATTTTGGGTCGATTGATTTTCCTGTATTCATGGGAATTGGATGGAATTTGGATCACTTGAAAGCGTACCTGGCAATTGGCCACGGATCCATAATAGAACTACCAGGCATAGTTGGACTCAGTCAACATCGGGCACCTTTTAGGCCAAGGTTTTGGACCAGTCATCGACAGTAATTATTTCTTTGGGGTGACTGAATGATGTTTTTGATCTCCCCAGTGGTGGTCATGTTCTGCATGTTGTTGTGTGCTCAATAAATCTCAATATATCCCAACATGCTATTATACACAATCATACGCACACACACACACATAAATATGAAGGAATAAACACACACATATATATATATATAATTATATATATATATATATATATGTTGTGTGTGTGGTTTTCTCATGTTTTCTCTTGCTGTCCCGTGTTTTTTTTGGCTCGAATCCTGATCTTTGTTGATGACGTCCGCCTTTCTGGAGGGTTTGCACCTCCTGAATTGGATGAATATCGGCTGAAGGGAACTTCTAGGAGAAAACACATGTATACGACGACGGCAGTGACGGTAGACACCTTGGTTTCCTGCAGCATTTCCGCTTCACCAAGCAGGAAATACACCCGGAAATGTCTGTCTCTTGGGGTAAGGTGATTCTTGTTGATGATCAAACCCCAATCTTTGTGGCTTAAACTGCCCCTCCAGTAAACTAATACTGGATTGAGCGCATTTTTTCAGAAGGAAACTTATCTGCAAATGGTTGAGTTTTCCATATGTTAATTGGCTGGAGGGTAAATCCCCTTAAGTCCCCAAGTTCTTGCTTGTTCAACTTCATCTTAAATGGGATTAACCTGCTTGGGCCCAAGTCCCTACCCAATGTACCCCAATGTACCTATCGAAAAACATCCCAGGCATTGTCAGTGGGTAACAACCATAATCTCATCCAGTACGTATATAGTTACACAAATAAGTTGTATGTATATAAATATACATATGATTATATATTATACGGAATATGCCCATTTATCTGTGTTTTTTTTTATATTTAAGTTATTTTAATATATATATATATATTATGTATAGATATTATATAAAATACTGCATGTATATATATATATATATATGTGTGTGTGTATATATACATGGACTTACATGGGTTCTCACGATGCCTGGGATGCATCCACGCTGGAGCGGCCACGAGGTCCCACCTCCCTGCTGGCCTTGGAATGTTTCCAGGGGAGCTTCTGCCCGGAGCGGAGCATGGTGCCCCGCAGCTGTCGCAAAGGCCTATGGGACCACAGTTTTTAGTATAATACATTATATATATAATCATTAAAGTATATTAAATTATTAACCATCTAATTAATTTTGGGATATCTTTTTAGTATTAACATGTATTAACCATCTAATTAGTGGGATATACAAATTTCACCACCCAAAGGCGGGTTTCCTAAAATTAAGGGAACCCTCCAGATGAGTTCAATTTCAACAAAAGAATTGGTAAATGTCAAGCACGGGTTGATAAACCACGCTTTGTTAATTAGGGGGGTAGCTGTGATAATCTGATACTTAAATGGTCCTCCCCCCAATTAAACCGCCGTTCGGGGTTTATTCATCCAGGGTTGACCTTATTCTGCTTGACTTAACTGGAAAACATATTTCAACTTCGAGCAGCCAAGACATGATAGGATGTGATTTCACCAGAAATGGTGGGAGATGATCAACGAGCAGATTTAGTCAGGCAAAGGCAAAGTGGCTTGCTTACCCTCTGGTAAACTAACATAGCTATGGAAAATCACCATTTTTAATGGGTAAATCCACTATAAATGGTCAATTTCAATAGCTATGTTAAATTACCAGAGGTTAATTCCACAAATACCTGCGAAGATGCCCCCAATGACTTAATATGTTGTTTGAGGGGAAGGAGGTTGCAAACGTCAAGCAGAATATACGTAAAAATGACACCAGGCTTAGTGGGCGCCGATGGGGACAGGTATACCATTTGTACAGAAGGTGGTTGCCCCCCATCTTGTGATCTTGTGTGCAAACTGCCAGTGCCAAAGACTTCGGATTGGGATAAAACATAGAAGGATTGTGAAGAAATCACCACAAGCTGCAGTGGTTGACATGACATGGGGCATATCTATCATGGAAGCGTCACATCATTGTCAGATTTGCTCAGCATGTGCAATTGCAAAAGACAGATAATTACTTCATGTTTGTTCTCCCAATCTGATGTGAACAGATTTATATGGTTTTTGTTATTTTAATGTATACTTTCATCATCTTGCATCCGGGCGCCTGCAATTATTCGTATGGCGTTGTCTTGTTTGCAATATTCAATGCATATATCTTCCACAGGTGGTGTCCCACCCTTATTAGGCTATGCTCCTGGTCGCAGTGCAAGGTTTCTATTGCCCGAACCCGTGTTCCGAACACAAATGCCCATCAGGCCGGGGCCAGTGGAATGGGGCTGGTGAGTATGGATGTCTATTGTTGCTGTTCAGTCACACAGTGCCACATTCTTGGACATTTTTGGGAAGAGATGTGTATAGAATATTGTACATAAAATGCTAAACAGTGTGTGTTAAGCGAGCGCAAGAGAGAGAGAGAGAGACAGAGAGAGAGAGAGAGAGTTCCATCCCAAAGTAACTGCCAGTTTCCTGACTTTTTCCTGATATGATTTGCAGCTATTGACAAATTGAGCCACTTGAAATCCGGTCAGTCGTGCCGCTGCGATCAGCTTTCAACTCAAAGGAGATGAGATGGGATGAGCGCACCAAGTCAACCAAGTTCTTGGAAAATAGTTCAACAATGTTTAACAAACGAACAGATGAGGAGTCTAAGCAACCCAAATACAGGAATTTACCCAAAAAAAACATACGAAAGGGTGACCAACAAAACGAGGGGAACATGGGGATTTCGATGTGCACATTTCCGGGTCCAACATCTCTCATCCCTACTCCATCAGCTATCATTTTGATACCAAGGTAAGGTCCGAATACCCCAAAAAAAACGGTGGTTTCCGGCGTTGCGCATACCACCTTATGCGTCCCGGAAGTGCCCAATCACCAAGTTGTACCACCTGGATCCATTTTCGTGGATATGAAAAAATCATGAAATACGTCTTTATTGTAAAGAGTGGTACCATCTGTTCCGTACAAAAAATGTAAACAAAACATGAAACGCCAGAAAAAACGTCAAACAACTGGGTTTTCCCAATGGAGTCGGAGCCCAGCAGCTCCAGCTCTCCGCTGCCGGACGGCATTTCTTCGAAGCGCACGCTTCGGCACCCGCCCACGCGGAAGTATCTGCCGCCGGAGCAGGGCGATGAGGTCACCATTTAGGAGTGGAGGTGTGATGGAAAATGAGAATGATATGAGGAGAATGAACATCTCATACCACAAATTGGTGGTTTCCTAAGTCATGGGGGGCCCCAAAAATCCTCCAAAATTCGAGCATTTTGGGATTGAAACCCATGGTTTTGGGGGGATCCCCCATTGTAAGAAACCCCAAAATGGTTATTGATAATACACAATTGCATAATATGGGGTCATTTTGGCACCAGGCTGCCGACGTGTCGATCCATCACCAATTGGGTCCAAAAATGTGGGATTCTCTCACATTTCTGGTGGAACGTTTGGGTGAATAAGGTGTTGAATCATGAGATTTGGGGGCTATGGCTGGGGTATTCAACCTGGTGTTCACCACAAGCACTCACAAGCTGAACCCCAATGCTAGAGATTTAAGCTATCAGAAGGCCCTGCCATTGAGAGTGTTACCTTTGCATGGGGCTATGGTAGAGTCATCCACCGTTTAATCACCATTCACCCACCAAAACCTCAGGCTGAACAGATTAATCACCCTCCACAAAAATGAAAAAGATCTGGCAACCTAAGGACCCTTCAACTCGATTCAACTCGCAAGGAGCCCCAAACATCACGCAGTCCTTCTGTTTCCAGGGTCGAGCCAGGTTGTAGTGCGATATTCCCTGACACTTGCGGGGCAACAGCTGCAAAGTACAGGCCATCCGCGGATTTCCGTCGCTGCAGAAGATGGGATGGGGATCCTGGTAGATGATGGTAGATGGAGAATTTGCTGACATTTCTGTGTTGATTCGGTTTGATTCATTCAACTTTAAAGGCTGCCGAGTCCTTGAGGCCGACTTGAAGCCGAAGAAAATGCTGCTGGTTTCATGGAGTCCCAATCAGTCTTGTGAAAACCTTCTTCCCTTTACTGGAAGTGGGACATCCAGCATTGTTGCACGGTCTCACCTTGGAAACTTCTAAACTTCTAAACAAATCTATGTGATTGACTAAAACTCTCCAAAAAGAATTCACGTTAAAATGCCCACATCAAGATTCACACCTGTCTCCCCATGTCCCCCCGTAGGCGGCGACAGCATCGCCTTCACCATTGGTGCTGCCGCCAGCCAAGGGCCGCCCCTGCGGGTGCTGCAGACGCTGGTCCGGCAGCTGTATCAAGGTGAGGACGCGGAGTTCACCATTGAGCTCGGCATGTTGGAGGCCATGGAGCACGGAGATGCGGTGACCGGGGTGACCTTTCTGGGGATGGTAACTACATGGAGTTCAACCCCGATTTGCCACGCATTCAATGGAACCACACCCCCAGGATTTTGGGACGGGAACGAGATGGAATGACTCTATTTGGTGGTCACTTAAACTGGTTGGTGGTTTGAGACATTTTTTAATTTTCCATATATTGGGAATAATACTCCCAACAGACTTTCATATTTTTCAGAGGGGTTGAAACCACCAACCAGATCCGTTTTTTTGGTCAAAACCACCCTTGTTGGATGACCTTATGGGGGTCCATTTGATACCCTCGGCCACCTGCCACGTCAGGACCTAAGCTTGGACGGCTGGGCGCCGAACACCCAGACACAGCTGCAGCTGGAACTGGTGAAATGTCCCCTGCGGGAGGATCTCTTCGGCGATCAAGGCGCCGGGAAGTTGTTCATCTGGTTGGTGGTTTGGAACATGTTTTTTCCTCATATTTTTTCATATATTGGGAATAATAACCCCAACTGACGAACTCATATTTTTCAGAGGGGTTGAAAGCACTAACCAGTAATGGTTTAGAATTGTGCAACATATCCACGCTCTATGGCATGTTTACGTAACTCTAGCGGATAAAATAATGAGAAACCAAGGGAGGTTTATCACGAACGGGGATATGAATCGATCATCATCAACAATCACATTGGGTTTGTTGAAAAATTGTGGTGATCTCCAACATATACTGCAATTGCAATGGAGAAGATGGTGATAAACACCTTAAAAAAAAGCCTTAAATATGTAATGATCCTTAATGATAAACACCAAAACATGCCTTAATGCTAAAACTTACCAAACGAGTGGGTACCCATTGTCGGCCTATACCCATGCCCTCACGGTTTTTTGGGTCATCATGTGTCATGAGATGCTGGTAGCTGTTTCTATGGTAGATTTAGCCAAGCAATGCCGTCTTGGTTTTCCCAACGGCTGGGAAAACCAAACCTACATGTTCCATAGATTTCAGCAGGTGGGTCATGATTTTCCTATGGTCTTTGCACGTGAGGAGATTCGTACTCAACCCATGGGGATGATGAGTTCCAACCAGCTCCACCATATGGCATTATGGTTTTGTCCAAAAATAGGGTACCCACAAAACCCCTACGGTTTGCATGATTTATCATATTCTATCCATATGCAATGTGCGATTTGGGGATATACTGTACACTGTACACCACGTTATCACCATGTTGAGACACACAGACATATCATACTCTTGTCAATATCACCATGACATCCGCAGCCTGTTACCAGGTGCCATCAAGCGCATCATCAAAAGCTCTGAAGGTCGACACCCAAAGGATGGAGATGAATGTCAGGTGCGCCAAGCTAGGGCTGTGATTTGGTACGAACTCAGTGCCTTGCACATTCGGTAGACGTTTGCTGGCAAACGCATAAAAAAACGCTAATTATCCAGAATAGTAAGCATGTGGGGTACACACAAATTTTACACCAAGAACGGCCAAATCCAACGATAAAATCATCTTCCAGGCCCCAGTCTTGGCCTACTTACCAAGTCCCCCGTTTGGGGATGTTTGGGGTAAACTGACAGCTACCACGTCAGGGATGGGATCTTCGAAGTAAGGGCTGCAATATGTCAAATGAGCGGGGAAAAACGGTTATTTTTTGCCAAATCTTTGGCCAAGATGGAAATCATTATAAACCCTAAAAACTGCCGAAATGATTTGAAATGGAAGATTACAAACTCCGTGGGGCCCTGGGTCTCATTTTTTTCCGAAAACATCCATGTCTGGGAAGATGTTGGTTGTTTTTATTTAGTATGAAGCTCTCTACTATGGTGTTTTTCTGGGGTGCCACGCAAGGCCTTGATTTCGGCTGGTGATTCTTTAGTGTATATGATATGCCCGGGTCTATTTCTGTTCCACATTCAGAAGTGGTGATAGTGGCATTGTATGAAATGTCGTACAGAACGGTACCCCCAGGTCTTAAGTTGGTTTAATCATACACCGCATTAACATGCATTAACTATAGACTATAGATATTATACATAAATACCAACCATACTGTAGTATTTTAGCGGCTTGCTTGCCCAACAACCATAGCCGCTACGACTTAGTGGGCCTACTACGCAGCCCAGGTGTCCTACAAAATCACTGAAAAAGGTGCCGCCGGTACCTTGGATGGTCAGTGGATGGTAGTTTCTGGATTCATCCTTCGCCATATACATAGGAATATCTTGTATGATATTTGCACATTAACTAGTGTATTCAAAATGTGCCTGGAATTTGTATACAGTTTGCGAAGACTAAGTAGATTGTATAGACTAAATAGATAAGAGGGTAGACAGGCAGATAGATAGAAAGAGAGTGAGAGTGATGTTGATGACACAGAGATTTGCAACTACATGTCTATCAATGGCCATTTCAGGAACCTAAATTGAAGGTACCTTCCAGGGACCTACCATATCAATGGCCATTTTAGGATCCTTAAATTCCCATTGAGCTTCGCCACTTCCAGGTCCGCCCCTCTCCGTGGAGGAAGGTGTCTACAAGATCGGCGGTATGGCGCCGCAGCTAGGGCAACTGGCACAGGTCTTTGAAGCTTTGCAAAGAGCTCCGGGATCGCTTTTTTGGATGGTGATGACCCTTGAATCCCCGACTTTACTGGTAAAAGCCAATGATTTCCTGTGGACTTTCAAAAAAAAACAAACATCACATTGAGATTAAAGATGGGTGCATTTTTGATGGAGAAGTTCAATGACCACGATTCGGGGGTGGATTGTTCAACATCTTGTAGAACGCTAAATTTGGAATTATGTAAAGACCTTTGTTATTTGTCATACTTGTAAGTTCCTGGTTTTTTGGAGCTAACCAGAGGAATGTGTCGGGATAAAAAAGTGGATTGCAGTAGCATCAAGTGTGACAAGACTGGATGGAGACATATGGAGACTGTGATCCACGTTCCACCCCCAACTTCGACGTGGCACCTGGAAAACGAGCTCAGAACGGTTGCATTTTTTGGAGTGCCGTATGTTCCATGTCAAGGGTGTAATATAATGAGTGTGGTATAGTTGGATTTGGGGCATCTACTTAGTCAGTGTGCCTGCACTCACTCCAGGTCAGTCAACCTGGTAACAAAGCTATGTAAAATGACCCGTTTATAAACGGTTTAAATGGTGATTCTCCAATTTTCCACAGCCATGTTATTACCAAGCCAAGGGTAAGAACCCGTGAATGACCAGAGGGGGGCGTCAGCCTAGACGCCCTTCGGGGAACCTGAGGACAAAGCTTTGTTGTCGATGAAGTTGAAGGAGGACACGACTTTAGGCCGTTTGCTTCACAAACTCACAAATTGTCTCATGCCCAACCCTATATTTGTTTTCTTGTTGGATACATCCTCTCTAGTGCAGCCCAAAGTTGTGTTCTAAGATTTGTAGAGAAGGATTTGCGGCATTTTATCAATAGAGATCAATTTTCAACAACTTATAGTTGGAGATGTTGGAGACTGGGTAATCAATTGGATTCTGTTGGGTATGTTTCAAATCAATTGCAATCGTCACGGCCTTTTCGACGATTGCCCTACGATAGGAAGTCGTGGTGACATGCCGCCCCAACGGCCCCTTTGGGCCGAAAGCCGGGCAAAGTTTGGAGATCTCCTTGACCTTAGAGGAGCACTGTTGAGCTGTGAGCTGTTCAACTTACCACTGCTGATTGATATTAACCAACTCCTTAGAGGGGGAATTGCCGGGATGACTTGCGTGTGGCTTCGAAGCCTCAACGGATTGGATTCTGGTTGGTTTTTGGAAGCCACTCCTTGTTTGGGAAGATGCTTTCAACTGTAGGAGATCTTCCAAGTGCACGATGTGAGCCTAGGCTGGGGGCAGCGGTGAAACTTGACATGAGCATGAGGGAATGGCTCACTCAATCCGCAAGATATGTCAACTATGATTCTTAAGTTTCAATGTGTTTCAAGGGTTGCCCCACTGCTTCACCTGGTGGCATCTATTTCCTGCAGGCAAGTACGATGGGGCGGTGCTTCGGAAGCGGCTCAAGGAGGGTGCTGGCCCGCACCGCTTGCACGACACGGGCCGTGTGCGCGTGAGGGTGCTCACTGTGACCTCCAATCGTGACAAGGCAATGGGTGCAGCACCGGAAAGTTGCAACCGGTGCTTGCAGGTCATGGGTTGAGACTGCGTATGACGCTTGTTTTGTTGTTGTTGGGGCCATTATCACCCCAAGAAGCCCCAACTATCCCCAACTATTCCCAAGTCAAGAAGAAACACCAACAAATCCGAATAATGAAACCCAATCATGCATTGACAGGCTTTATGCATAAAAATCAGTAAATACGTGGATGCATGATGGAATAACATGGTGGAAATAAACAAGATACAATGAAAATCTGGTTGGTGGTTTGGAACATTTTTTATGTTTCCATATATTGGGAATTTCATCATCCCAACTGACGAAGTCATCTTTTTCAGAGGGGTGGCTCAACTACCAACCAGAACTGCGGAAACCAAAAATTGTCCGGTGCAGGTGAGTGGCCGTCCCTTCGAAGTGAGTTTTGTGGCAGGAGATGGTGAGGCCCACTCTCGCTTGGTGCTTTCAATGGTTGATTTTGAGGTGTCTGAAGTCATGGGGGGACCCCCAAATCATCCAAGTCATGGATGACCATGACTGTGACTTAGTATGACTTAGTATTGAAAGTGTCATGGTGACTTGGGGATCCACCATTTTCAGAAACCTCCATGTTGCTTGAATCCTCCTGGACATACTGGACTGCTCAACCCCCATGAGACATGTGAGAAGCCCCCTCCACAACATTCCACAACTATATAAACTATATAATCATTACTAATCAAACATATCACAATGATTAGTTGATGAGTAATTATATTATGTAATGATTGCTGATAGTTGATTACTAATCCACCGTTATATAATTATATAACCATAGCCAATCACAACTACATGCTGGTCATCATGGCAGTGAATTTTCCCCATTCCAGCGAGTCCAGGTCTGCGACGCAATGGAAGGAGCAGTTCTTGGCCTCCAGGAAGGTGCCATAGGAGCAGCGATTCGTGCTGCGGTGGATTCTTTAGCAAGCCACGATCTCCAAAGGATTTTTTGAGGGATCCACAAGAAGAAACACATTGTGACATGTTCATTTGTTTACATTTAAGTTTACCATGGTTGTTGCTATTTTTTAATGGAATTGTTGGATATTGTTGGATCTTTTTAGTCAGCTCCGCCAGGAAAATTTCCGTGGTCTGCCAGGTGATGAGCTCATGTTGCGCGTCATGGAGCCTGCCTGCTGCGAGGCTTCCAATGGCGTGGCGTAGCGTTCATTTCTGTGGTTTCTCTTTGATATCATTGAAGGTGGTGAACTTGATAATAAATCATTCTAAAAAAATGTGGCGAGCCTTTCGTATTTTTCGAGTTTTTGTTTGGAAGAGAACGTGATCTATGATTGAAGGTGGTGATTTTATGTGTGCAAACTATCCACATGATATTTTTCAGAAGCTGGCGGGCCATTATAACATATTATACCATTCCGGTTTGGAAATTCATGCAATGTGGTTGACCATACTAGCATCAGGAGGATGAGGATCATGATGATGATGATGATGATGATGATGATGATCCCTGATTTTAATCTTTTTGGGTGGCGTTGAAGCCACCAGCATCCAGCATCCAGATATTTTTTATCCCAGAATTGGTTTGAAGGAATACTTACAGTAACCCTAAGTATTAAGTGGTATTAAAATCATGGTTTCCAAAAAAAGAAACATGGAACCCAATCCAGTCACATTGATGAAATCCCTATAAATCCCTATGTTTCCTGGTTCAATGTTCAACTTCTGGTTGGTTAGATCCCCCTTTTTTTCGGTCCTGCAGGGCTTGATCGAGATCGAGACACCATTGGAAGCGCCGGTCATGGTGCATTTCACGGTGCTAGAGGTTCAGCAAGTCGCTCAGCTGAAATCTGACCGGGAGGGTGAATTAACCAAAGAAAATTGGCAAATTTATTACTTAGCTGGTTGGTGGTTTGGAGCATTTGTTATTTTTCCATATATTGGGAATTTCATCATCCCAACTGACTTTCATATTTTTCAGAGGGGTTGAAACCACCAACCAGTTAGCTAAGTTGGTTTATAGGTAGTTTCAAGGGTTCAATTTAAGCGAACATGTTGAGGAAACCGTTGGATTTTACATCCCAATGTAGTATAATAGTATAGGTGTTTACAGCAAGCCGTGCATTTTGTCCCTCAAATCGATGCTGGGACTGTGGGCCTGGGACCAGCTCCCTTATTCATGTCAGTGTAGTTCCAGGGTTCGCTTGATGCCCCTACCAATGGGGCCAGTTAGCAAGTAAGCAAGTAGTGATTTCAGGGAAGGTAATCTCCATCTTTGTCGGCAAGATATCCAAAAATTCCAGTCACTTAGATACCTATGTCTGTCGATTAAAGTTCCCAGTGCGATTTGTCAAAATCCGAGGTGCCAACAACTATTAAGATTCACATGTGAATCTCGTTTTGGTTATATGTTGATTGGTTTGCTCTCCATTTGGTTCGGGCCAAGTCCACCCTGTGCCCCTTGTGCCCAACAGCAGTGTTGGAGAAAAAGTGTGAGGCTTCGGGAGCGGATGGCTAGATCCTCCGTGTTGGTCCTTTTTGCTGGCTTGTTACCGTAATCCATGAATTTTGCTGGCTCAATTTTGTTGGTTTTACTGGCAAAAATGCTTCAAGTGTTGCGTGTCGATTCACCATCTGTCTCTAATTGTGTATCTTTTTGCTGGTTTGAAACTTTGTTGGCTAAATATGTTTGCATCCCTCATTGCGCTTAGCTTGAATCACAAGTTCTGCTGCCTCAATCAATTTGCTTATTAGGATCTAATTTTTGTAGAGTTATATAATCTGCCCAGGTGTTGGTGCCTGCCACATTCACAATTGTCTGACTAGATCCCTCAGTTTTGCTGGGATATATATATATATAAATGTTCAGCATTGGTGGCTCGAAACCTATATTTTAGCGGTACTCTCTAGCATGTTTTTGGAATGTCTCTCTAGACCTAGGTTTAAGTTATTTTATATTTTGGCGAAATATACCACAACCAGGTGACAATGTACAGTCCATTTTGGGGAACATATACCAAAATGATTACTTTCCCAAAATGTACTTTTGGATAAGGCAATATAAGGCATATAAGGCATATTGTTGGGAAAGTGTATTCTTGGAAAGAGTGTGCTTTGGTGAAAATACACTTTTGGGAAGAATATACTCTGAGGGGATCTTTTGGGAAAAGATACCCAAACTGTTGGCATATTTTGAGGAAAATACACCCAAATTTTGGGTATATTTTAGGGAACAAATGTAGCCAAACTTTTGGTATACAGCATAATGGGCTACATAATTTATTTAAGCCACATGTTTGCAGTCAAATCTCTTCACTGTTCTGTTCAAACTCATAATTGTTGGGTCACATATTGCAAAATCCGAGTTTTTAGATGTTCTTAGAGTTGTTTTTAAAGTTAGATAGATAGATAGATATATATATATATATATGTATGTATGTATGTATAGGTCCCCCGGTTTTGGTGATCAACCCCCTCCATTCTTCTGTTTTTCCTTCGCCCTTCCCCTTCAGGTCCCCGAAAAGTGGGACCTGGCGCCTCCCGAGCGCTTGGAGCGGGCCGTTGCGCGGCGGCACCTTGCAGGGCGCTTGTTTCAGGCGCAACGGCTGAGGCTCGCAGCGAAACACTACCAGGCACCGAACTCTGGGATCTGAACTTCCAGAAGTTGGGGAGAGGTTGTGGGTATAATGTAGGTTTGTCTGAAAATAGGGTATATTCCCAATGAAATAGCCATTTAATAGGGATAATGATCAGCAAAACCATTGGGTTTAGGGGTACACTATTTTCAGACACACCCATGTCAACCCTGGATTGATAAACCCCTAATTAGGCTGTTGAATTTGCAGAATTTGCGGGGGGTACCCTGAGAATTTGCACAGGTCTTGCGTTTTAACTGGTGGCTTGTGTTTTATGGATTGGGCTCCCCCAAATAGGCACCAAACTCTGCATTTTGGACCAAAGAGAAACCATGCCATTCTCATGGATTCATGGCTCACAGGTGGAACAAAAAAGATAAACCACAAGGCAATCCAAGTTTGAGTCACCTGAGTTATCATACATGTTACATATAACTATAACTTGTAACCAGGTAATTCAATTTGTTTACTACATATATACTTACTACATACTTAGCTCAAACCAACCCATCCAAGATTCAAAAGTCAAATCATTGTCATTGTCATAGAAGGCTGGGAAAATTTTAAAATTCAAAAAAGGCTGGGAAAAGATAGCATTATGGATTCCCTTAAACGATTTTTTTTTCAAATAAGAACATTTTAAAATCAAAAAAGGCTGGGAGAAGAAAGATAGGGTTATGGATTCCCTTATTTGTTTTTTTTTCAAATAAGTTTTTTTTTAAACTAGTTTTTTTTAAATGAATCTCTTAAACGATTCTCAAATAAACAAATTTGAAACTTCAAAAGGGGCTAGGAGAAGATAGGATTATGGATTCCCTTATTATGCCCTTATTTGATGTTTTTTCGAATAAGAACTTTGAAAAAAACTAGGATTTTATATGAATCTCTTAAACGATTTTTGTTCTCAAATAAGCAAATTTGAAAATTCAGAAAAGGCTAGGAGAAGATAGGATTATGGATTCCCTTAAACGTTTTTTTTCAAATAAGAAAATTTGAAAATTCAAAAAAGGCTGGGGGAAAATAGGATTATGGATTCCCTTAAACGATTTTTTTTACCTAAGAAACTTTTAAAATTCAAAAAAGGCTTTGAGAAGATAGGATTATGGATTCCCTTATTTGTTTTTTTTTTCAAATATATATTTTTTTTTATGACTATGGTTTTATATGGATCTCTTAAACGATTTTTTTCTCAAATAAGCAAATTTGAAAATTCAAAAAAGGCTAGGAGAAGATAGGATTGTAGATTCCCTTAAACGATTTTTTTTCAAATAAGAAAATTTAAGAATTCAAAAAAGGCTGGGAGAAGATTGCCTTATTTTTTATCAAACAAAATCAAATCAAAATAAGAAAAATGATTTAAAACAAACTGTAAGTAGAATAGAGTCAGAGAGATGGGTATTGTTTTTGTTTATATATTTAAACTAAATTAAATAGTAAAAAAAGGAAAATTCAAAAAAAAAATGTAACCAAAACATGAAAACAATAAAAAACAAAAAAACCATAGAAACCAGTTTGGAAGCAAATTTGATGAAAGAACCAATGTCAGCCTTGTTTTTTTTCAAGTTGATTGAAATTGATTGTGATTTTTTTTGACCAGAACTTAAAACACAAGCAAAAAGCTTAAACGATTTTTTTAATTTTCAAATAAGCTTATTTGATTTTTTTTGTGGCTTGTGTCCCCTGGATTTTGTTTTTTTTTGGTGTTTCTGATCAGAAAAAACAAATTGTGGGGGACACAAACCAATTATAATCAATTTCTGTCCCCCAAAATTTGTTTTTTTTTAATCAAACACACAAAAAAAAACAAAATCCAGGGGACACAAGCCACAAAAAAAATCAAATAAGCTTATTTGAAAATAAAAAAAATTGTTTAAGCTTTTTGCTTGTGTTTTAAGTTCTGGTCAAAAAAATCAATAATCAACTTCAATCAACGTCAAAAAAACAAGGCTGACATTGGTTCTTTCATAAAATTTGCTTCCAAACTAGTTTCTATTGGTTTTTTTTGTTTTTTAATTGTTTAACATGTTTTGGTTACATTTTTTTTTTTTGAATTTTCCTTTTTTTACTATTTAATTTAGTTTAAATATATAAACAAAAACAATACCAATCTCTCTGACTCTATTCTACCTACAGTTTTTTTTGAATCATTTTTCTTCTTTTGATTTGATATGTGTTTGATAAAAAAATAAGGCAATCTTCTCATCTTCTCCCAGTTTTTTTTGTTTTTTTTTCTTATTTGAAAAAAACGTTTAAGGAAACATAATCCTACCTTGTCTTCTCCCAGCCTTTTTTTAATTTTCAAATTTTCTTATTTGAAAAAAAAAATCAAATAAGGGAACCCTCCTATCTTCTCCCAGCCTTTTTTGAATTTTCAAATTTTCTTAGGTAAATTCAATTGTTTAAGGGAATCCATAATCCTATCTTCCCCCAGCCTTTTTTGAATTTTCAAATTTTCTTATTTGAAAAATAAAATCGTTTAGGGTAATCTACAATCCTATCTTCTCCTAGCCTTTTTTGAATTTTCAAATTTGCTTATTTGAGAAAAAAATGTTTAAGAGATTCATATAAAACCATAGTCTGAAAAAAAAAACGCATTTTTTTATTTGAAAAAAAACAAATAAGGGAATCCATAATCCTATCTTCTCCCAGCCTTTTTTGAATTTTAAAAATTTCTTAGGTAAACAAAAACATCGTTTAAGGGAATCCATAATCCTATCTTCCCCCAGCCTTTTTTGAATTTTAAAAATTTCTTAGGTAAAAAAAAATCGTTTAAGGGAATCCATAATCCTATCTTCTCCTAGCCTTTTTTGAATTTTCAAATTTTCTTATTTGAAAAAAAACGTTTAAGGGAATCCATAATCCTATCTTCTCCTAGCCTTTTCTGAATTTTCAACTTTGCTTATTTGAGAACAAAAATCGTTTAAGAGATTCATATAAAATCCTAGTTTTTTTCAAAGTTCTTATTTGAAAAAAACATCAAATAAGGGCATAATAAGGGAATCCATAATCCTATCTTCTCCTAGCCTTTTTTGAAGTTTCAAATTTGTTTATTTGAGAACCGTTTAAGAGATTCATTTAAAAAAACTAGTTTTTTTAAAAAAAACAAATTTCTTATTTGAAAAAAAAATCAAATAAGGGAATCCATAACCCTATCTTTCTTCTCCCAGCCTTTTTTGAATTTTAAAATTTTCTTATTTGAAAAAAAATCGTCTAAGGGAATCCATAATCCTATCTTTTCCCAGCCAGGATGTTAGCACAGGACACGCATGCACCAAAAACAGTGCACGGCGCACAGTGGGGAAAAAAGGCCAGCAGCATCAATTTGGAAGAACTGGGTTCCATGTGTTTTTTTTCTGTTTTGGAACTTGCGCAATAATAAAACACAAGGGCAAACTTATACCGCAAGCAAAACAGCTACCTGTGAAAATTGACAGGGTACCCTTTAAGTATTGGATTAATGATGACTATTGGAGGAGTACCCCCCCTAATTTTCATAAACCGTAGTTTATTCCGGGGTTGACATTAATCCCTACAACCATGGTATTACGGAAAAATCTAAGCCGCTAAGTGGAACTGCACCCCCAATGGATTAGGGTCACCATTTGGGAATCAGACACGGCTGGGAAATCCCCGAACTCAATGGAGCTTTGAATGGGAACATCATCTATAAATTGGTGGTTTTCTGACAAGCCATGTTTGAGTACCAGAGGGTGAAAACTAATGAACACACACACACATGTGTGTGTGTGCGCGTGTAACTAAACAACGAAATATGAAGATTTTACTATTAAACATTGGAAGACTTTTAGGTAAGAATTAGAACGATGGACAAGAACTCGATTGAGGGACGCGTCCAACAATCTTGACCTCAGCACATGGGATATCAAGCCTAGACGGCTGGTGGAAAAAACATGTAAAGTTACCGGTGGCAACAAGTCAACAAGCTGACCGCTTGTAGAGACAAGAAGTACATAATGATGTAGATAGAGTAAATAGTAGTATCACATTTCTATATCTATATATATGTATATATATATATGACTATAGACACTGTAATGTTGATCATAACTAGTCTGAGTCTTTGGTTTCTGGCACGACTGTGGCACGCATGTAAAAAACCCATCCCTTCTCTAAGTGTTAGGTTTTTGGCATTTAGTATTGGGGATGGGATTATCCAACCGCCCATGGATGCGCGAGGAGATTGCTTCGTTTCTAGCCCGGCCGGAAGATTTCAAGGAGAAGCGGAAGCCTAGTGGAAAGTGTTTCTCCTCCATCAAATCGTTGGGTTTTTTGTTGGACCATTCCGGGAAAGATGGCAAGTTCAATCCCTTCATGTTTAAGCAGTATAGAGGGATATTTACCTTGAACATATTAATGTTCTGAACATTGTTCTGCAATGTTTGCAAGCGAAATCGCTGGATACCCTCTGGTAAACTAACATAACTATGGAACATCACCATTTTTCATGGGAAAATCCACTATTTCTATGGCCATGTTCAATAGCTATTTTGACATAACCAGGCCGGGTAGATCAAATCGACGTCGGTTTTTTCCCCATGTTTGTCCCCGAACAGTCCCAGAGGAGCAGCGGGCGGAAGCCTTGGAGCTGCGGCGCGTGGCCTTTCTCAACGAAGCCGCTTGCATGCTGCAGCTGGGAGAGATGTCACATGTCAAGGCAGATTCAGAGGGGTTTTTTAGCCACCAACCAGAAACATCCCATACACCTATATCCCATTAAGAACCATTAAAAGTCCATTAAACACCATGAAAATCCCATTCAAAATCCATATATCTGGGCAAAATTATAACGACCTCACTGTTCTCCCGAGCCCTGAAATCATGGATGATAAGGGGAATCATCCCCAAATGGCCTTATTTCAGGTTAGTGAATTATTATAATTTGCCCAGATTCCACTGGATTTCACGGAAAGCAGTTGCGATTGGTCGTTGAGGTGGGAAAAAGTGGTAAGATTGGCGAACAAAAAAAAATCAAGAAACACATTTGGGGATGATGAAACTACCACCCAGAAAAATTGTGATGTTGGGAATTGCATGTTTTTGGGTTTACCACATTAATACTTGTGATGACTTGTTTTCGTAGTTGCGCAATGTTACGCACTAGTAGTAACAACAGCTAGAATGATAGCTATAACTGTACTATTGATAGTACTTATAACAATGGTTATGATAAAAGTTGCAACAGTTATGCTAATTCTATCTCATATGCTTCTTCCCTGTAATGTAAATACTGCCGATAGACCCTGGCTTAGTAACAGTGGATCTATTCGTTCCTGGGTCCATTCTTCGAGTATTTGATGGGGGATGGGACTGACGCGCTTCAACTCCTGGGAGGGTTCATGAGGTTGAAGCACTGAGGAGCTACCCCTGGAAAGATTGGAAAGATAGCCAGAAGATGCCACAATACTATGACATACTATGACAATACTATGACTTTCTGGTCACCTGGAAGTCATCCTACTGCTCGAGAGTCCCATCTCAGATCATCTGCGCAGGATTTGTGCGACAAAGTGCTGAAAGAGGAGATCCTGAAGCAGTTCTGGGACTGGAGTCGTAAGAGTCTAAGCCCATTCAGCAACCTTTCCAATGCACCGGATTCGCATTGGCCAAATCTCGACTTCTTGGAACATGCCCCCACGGTCGAAGCAGCTCCCTCATAATATAGATATATATATATAATATATATATTTACAATTATATATATATATATACTCTGTCTGTAGTATGTTGTAGGTGTCTTGTTTTTGAGAATAAAGGTGATAAACAATGTTTTTAAAAAAATATGTATTCTAACCTTAGCCAATCTTAACCCATTCTTCACCCCCATGGCTGCTGCCAAATCTATCCCCAGCCTCTGGCAGGAGCCGGAACAGCCCAAGGCGCTCTTCCGCCGCGCGAAGGCGCTGCTGGCGCTGAAGGAACATCAGGCCCTGGGAAGCTGGGCTTTGCTCGGAGAGTTCCTGGAGCTTCCGAAGTCATGGGGGGGGGCTATTTTTCATGGGAAAATCCCAGAAAATGGCAAAACATGATGATAACTGGGAGTATCCTCCCATGAAATAGGAAACTTGAGTTGATAGGAATATTGATAGGAATATTGGTATGAACCATAACTGATGATAATGGACCGTTTCATAATAACCATATAATAACATATGGTATAGTAACATATGGTGAATCATGATAAGGATGAGTTATTATTCATGATTTGTTTATTGATGTTCTCACGATGATTCAGCATAACTCATGATGTTCATGGTGTTTTACGTGCTGAAAACTTCTTCCCAGGCTGCGGTGGAGGATTTGCAACGCTTGAAGGAAGTGGATCCATCGAATGTCGCAGGGCAACGCTTGCTGCGGGAAGCCAAGGAGGAATTGGGCTGAGGGATCCTGGCGGTTGGACGGTGGGCCAAGTGAGCTAAGGATGATCATCTGGTTGGTGGTTTGGAACATTTTTTTAATTTTTCCATATGGTGGGAATAAGGTGAACAACTGACTTTCATATTTTACAGAGGGGTTGAAACCACCAACCAGTCATGGATACTTAATGACGATTAGATATCGTTCTTTGAGTGTTTCAAACACTGTACTTGGGGACCAACGATGACCAAAGTGAGAGGTTTCCCCAGCTTGGAATCGCGATGACTTGGGCGTTTTCAATTTTGTCAGACGCCGCCATGCGCTGAAGCAATTTGCAGTGAGCTGGTTGGCAATATTGTTTCTCGTTGTTGTCATTAACACATATTGACACTTTTTCACCGAATAGTGTAAACATGTGCAAACCAAATACTAAAACATCTTTGTCAGGAGCTGCGAAAGCAGGATCGCGTCTCTTCCAAGACCTACTCCAAGATGTGCGCAGGCGGAGATTCACCGAGCTCCAATAGCATTCCAGAGCCACAAATACCACAAGTGATGGTTGGGAAGGGAAGGCATCACACAGAAAATTGATAAACAGATTTGACATGACCATGGCTATTGGTGCTTAGGTGTTTGAATTTGCATGAATAAACATTCAAATGTATAAAGCACCCGTTGCTAAACGCAGGATCCATTGGTTGGTAAATGCACCATGCCCGAAGCCCATGATCATCCCAATGGCAAGAATTATCCTCTACATTCCCCTGTCAAATTGATGGAGATCCAGCATTACTAATAGGCCGGACCATTTGTAGTGACTTCGTGGGGGGAATGAAGTAGTACTTAGATGTACTTGGTAATCTTTATCAATAGTTTTGTGCTTCAACGAGATGAATGGAGAAAGATCTCTCACTCGTTTCCACATCCATTCAGCGAGTCATGAGGTGGAGAACGGTGGATAGGTGGTATGGCAAAAGTTCATGGAGTTCGGACAGCAACAAATCATCAAATATGGGGTTGGGCACCACTGGTGAAAAGTTTCCTGGTAAATCAGTCCCCTGACATTTTGTCCAATCCCAGTCTAGGGTGAAGTAAGATGAAGTAAGCCCATGTACCAAGATACTAAGTGGGTTATATATATATATATAGTATTCCAAAGCATTCCCATGATCTTCCCATTATCTCTATCCCAAGATGTCTTGATTACAAAGTTACTTAAGTTATTCAGTTATTCCCATGATATTCCCATGACTTTCTTCACGTTTCTCCAAGTGGCGCAGGTCTGGGCGACTTCCCCGAAGACCTTCGGGCGCCAAAGACGTCGCCAAATTCGTTGGTGGAAGCGCCGGACTTGGAGGAGGAGTTGCTCGGTGATGGTTGAACCAATCCAATGAACCAATCCACCAGTTATTACCCTCTGGCAATTTATGAAACATGGTGATTTTCCATAGCCATGTTAGTTTACTGGAGGGTAACTGCTTAACTATGGCTTAACTTACCCTCCAGTAAATTAACATAGACCCTGGTAGTCATCGGGGTTGGAAGATGAGTTTGTTTCCTCTAAAAAATGGTGATTTCCAGGGTCGAACTGTTAATTTACCAGAGGGTAGCATGATTAACCATCAAACATGGTGGTTTTTCCGCAACATACCTGGAGATTTCAATATGTTTAAATGGCGATATCAATGATCAAAGATTGGGCATGGGCATCTGCATTCCCTACAATAAATGGATATAAATGGATAAATGGGGAGCCAGTTTCCCTACCACATGACAGATCATTCGTTAATACTGGTTGATATTGATTATACTTACTATAAGTTGTTGATAATAGTGAATAACACTGCTCAGAAACGATATTGGATAGTATAAGTATTACGTATATTGTCCCATAAGAACATACTATCCAGTAGTGGTTGCTAATTATATTATATTGTTTACCCCCCAAAATATTGGTGCAATAGTAAAAAATAGAATATTTGTACAGTGGTAATTATATAGTGTAATAATAATTCTAACTATGATTTACTAATTATATAGTGGATACAGTAATAGTAAATCAAACTGCTCAGAAATGTGGCGTCACTCCAATCCGGCTGTCCTAGGTATGCCAAGTTGTCGCGCGAAACTGGGGTGCCATTGCACCGCCTGAAGCCGGTGAAGTAGAGCGGTGCGGTAGAGCTGCGCTCGGTTTGTGGTTGGCTTGGTGGTTTCATTGACTACGCCTTTGATTGTTTGGAGGTCTAAAGGACCACTATTATCATCTTTTGTTGGATGATGATGTCCATTTGATGAGATCCATTTTTCAGAAAGCGAAACCACAAATGCCAAATGTCTCTGTGAACTGTTGCCGTCCCCTGCCCGCTTCACCTTGAAACTCGTCCGCGAGATGTTGCCAACTTCTAAAACACCGCATAGCATTGGCCGGTTGGATGTGGTCATAAGCAGCTGCAATCCTTGCCAGCCCAGGCTTGACCAAAAATTACTTTACTTCGTGTGATCCCCACCATGACATTTATACATGTTCTTACTGGCACATCTTCTGGCATTCTATCTGGCATTCTATCTGGCATATCTTCTGGCATTCTATCTGACATATCTTCTGACATATCTTCTGGCATTCTATCTGACATATCTTCTGACATTCTTTTTGGCATTCTATCTGGCATATCTTCTGGCATTCTATCTGACATATCTTCTGACATTTTATTTGGCATTCTATCTGACATATCTTCTGACATTCTATTTGGCATTCTATCTGGCTGTCAGTGCACAGCACAGTGATTTGCATTGCATTTGAACGCACAGTCACGGCTTGACTTGCCGTCCCTTGAAGGCTCAAGGGTTTCGTTCATCGCAAAAAGAGGTCGAGCGTGCAGTGCATGCCATGCAGTGCTTTTGAATCTTACCTCAACACTGGTGGCGCGGAGCTGCTGGTTGCGACCAGGGATGACAAGTCGAAGAACGTGGCAGCCGAGAACACCTGATGATCTAGGACTGACTGCAGGGAGTTCTGATAGTCATGAAAGGGCGTCTAGATCCACACCAGGTGATAGCTCAGCTGCACATGAATGGGAAGAGCCTAATCCACCAGATCCTTGGGCGGCTTGGTATAGCAGTAACCAACTGGATGAAGAAGAATACTATGATGATTACTACGAACATGGGAATAGACATGTCAGGGCACCCAGCTCAGGCTGGGATGATTCTAGTTGGGATCGCTATGGAAGCCAGTCTCAGGGATGGTTGACAGATGCACAGCTGCGCAACTTCAACACCGCGGCGGTTGAGCGCATGACGGCTGTGGATGATGGCCGTTGGGTTGGGACTCACTTCAACAATGAGGATGAGAACGGTGGCTATGGCTGGGGCCACGATGAATGGCCACCGAGGAGCTCAGACAAGCCGTCCGAGCGCCTGAAAGTCCCGACCTTTGATGGTGGCGGAGAAGAACATGATGTTGGTCATTCGGCCAGATCCTACATACGTCGTGTGCAGGTGTGGCTGCGCTGCACCAAGATGCCGGCCCACCAGAGGGCCTTGGCACTTTACGATGCCTTGACAGACCGTGCTTGGGTCTATGCGGAGGAGCTCGATGTGGACATCCTGGCGTCCGATGGTGGCGTCAGGTATTTCCTTGAATGGGTGCAAACACGTTTCATGGATGTGGAAGTGACAAAGATCGCGCAGATGATGAACGACCTCTTCCGCAAGTGCAAGCGCAGGGGAGGACAATCCGTTAGGGATTTCAATGTGGAGTTCGAGCGCATGGTTTTGCGGTTGCACGAAGTGAAGTGCAACCTTCCACCGTTGATCAAGGCATGGCTTTACTTGGACAAACTGAGGCTATCAGAGCACGAAGAGCTAGCGCTCTTGGCTTCAGTTGGCAATGAGTATGACGTCAGGCGACTCCAACATGCAGCCCTTGTCCAAGATCGCAATGCTCGTCGCAACTCCAATGAGGGCTGGAAGGGCAACAATCACCATGAGACTGGCAAGGGCAGATGGGGCCGTCAGACGGTCCACTTGACCGGCCTGGACGATGGCTCCAGTGGAGACGATGAGGATCCACTGGGCGGCCGTCACCATGAGAGTGAGTCTGACCTGATGGAAGAGAATGTTGCGGAGGCTCAGCACTCGGCATTCATGGCCTATCAGGGCGCCAAAGCAAAGTACAAAGAGGCCATCAAGGGGAGAGGCACAGATCCTGGAGAGCTTGAGAAGAGGGCCAGTGAACGGCTCCGTCTTGCAAAGCAGCGGTCGTATTGCAGTGCATGCAAGAGACGCGGCCACTGGCATAAGGATCCTGAGTGCCCCCTTCGAGGCCGAAGCGCTGCAGCTGCTTCAGCCCCACGAGATGGAGTTCAACAAGCTCAGATGTGCCACACCGTCAACATGGTGCGCACGTGCCTCGCTGCTGAGGGCCTGTCTGAGACCCACCATTCAAGTGAGCCGGCTTTTCAACTTGCTATAGTGGACACCGCATGTTCAAAGTCAGTAGCTGGCTATGATTGGTTTGAAGCATTTTGCAACCAGTCTGATTTGCTAGGTCACAGTTTTGAGATTTTGGATGAAACCGAGCACTTCAAGTTTGGTGCTTCCAGGGTGCATCGTTCAGCGTTTTCCATTTGGGCATGGTTCGGCATAGCTGGAAAGTGGGTCGCTGTCAAGATAGCCATTGTCCACTGCAAAGTGCCGTTGCTTTTGAGCCGACCTGCCCTAGCACAGTTAGGCATGACTTTTGATGTAGCACAGCACCAAGTCAACTTGAAGAAGTTGAACGTTTGTGAGATCCCGCTGAAGCAGAGCACTACCGGTCATCCAGCCTTAGTTGTTTCAGATTTTCCGGCTGGCAGTCCTCCAATTTTGGACGCCGCAGCTGGGGACGAAGTGTGGGTGCCCGCTCAGGAGGTATACATGGCTTGCCAGTCCGTGGGTAGGGAGACATCTCTTGCAGTTGAGCGTCCTTCAGAAACTCTCTTCTACCCCAAGAAAATCCCTCTTGAAGTTGAGAACATGTTGCAAACCTCTCCTTTGCCCTGCTCTTCGTTTTTTGCTTGGTGGAGTCATGCGAATCAAAGTCGAGATTTTTGGATTGAAACCGAGAATGAAATGATTAGGGTTCATGTGGTCCCTCGCAAATTCAAGTTTGATCCAACCAAATGGTCCACCAAGAATGTGGAGCAGAAGAGCCAGTTGCTTGCATGTTTAGAGGGCCAACGCATTTCAGAACGGATGTCATGTTTGTCCGATGGAGTGTTTTTTGAAGTCGAAGTTGACTCAATCAATGACGGTGGGGCTGTGGAAGACCGACATGACCAATGGATCGGCCGCAGTCGTTTTCAGAAGACTGCTCGAGCCTTGCCAGATTTCCACAAGCTCGCCGATGTCCAGTCAGCAGAACCTGCAGTCGCCATGGAAGATGCATCGCGACGAGTTGCGGGCGGAGCTGCACAAGCGCCAAGTGCCCTTCCACTCTTCTTGGACGGTGCCGGAGCTTCGAGCGGTCCTGATGGAGACCCGTGCTCAGGACCCAAACTGCCAGAAAGTCACGAACCCCATGAAGGGCATCTCAAAGATGAATCTGAGCGAGCTGACCCAAATGGCTCGCGATGCCCACATCGAGCTTCCTTCGAAGCCCACACGCGGCTGGCTGATCCTGGCTCTTCGCCAGGCCCGCTCCACGTCGGCAGAGACGGTGGTGCCTTTTGGGAAGTTCAAGGTTTGGATGTATCGGGAGATCCCTTTGGGTTATCGGTCATGGGCCATATTGCGGAAGTGGAGACTGTGGGGGAGGCAGCGGCTCACCCCGATCTGGTCCGCCTCGCAACTTGGGCCAAGGACAACTTGGAGACAACCGAGGAGGCTGCCAAGCAGACGAAGAGCCTGGCCAAGGACCCAGAAGCAGCTGCGAAAGTTCCGGTGCCCAAGCTCAGCGATCTGGGTTACCGCAGCTCAGGCAGCGATTGGAGCAAGGTGTCGTCGTGTCCGGCACCACGTCGGGCTCGCAACCGGCGAACCCAGCAGGATGTGGAAGAGCTGTCCTCGGACATGGAGGAGGAAGAGAAGGGGACGGCCGAGCAGATCGAAGCTTTGGAAAAGAGGATTGCGGCCCTGAAGAAGAAGGCGGCAACCTAGAGGTATTCCTTTGTGGGGAAGAGGAATTCAGTGACGCACTTGAGGACGCCCCTGGTGAGTCCTACGTCATGATCGGGGGCTATGAGTCTGAGGATGACGACATGCATGATTGCTTGGAAGCTTTTGAGGATGGGGAAACCACAAAGTATGAGCAGGCCACTGAGGTTCAGGGGGTGCCTGCATATGTCAAGGGAGATTGCTCTAGCAGGTCCGTGAATGACTGCGGCTTGGATCGGGAGTCGAAGAACATTCCGATCACTGAGCCCGAGGGTGTTCTTGTGAATGACGACACTCTTGACATTGATGTGACCCCATCGTATGACCAGGTTTTTGACTATGACACAGTCCCACAGTATGAGCAGAACTTTGCAGGTGTCAAGGTTTCTGACGGCGTCTTTGACAGTCTTTCCTTTTTGACTGACGGCGTCTCCAGCATGTTCTCAAAGGAGAAAGATGGGCATATGGCCGGAGAGAGCCCGGGAGTGGGCAACAATCCCCGGCAGAAGGCCAAGATCGGCATCCGCCGTCGGAGGAGGATGAAAGAGGGCACGCTGAAGTCTTTGAAGCGTGCAGCTGGTGGTTTGGCACAGGTGTTTTTGGCCTGCACTCTTGCGATTGGAGCTTGGGCCCATGAGGTTGGAGTGGAACCCATGAAAGATGTGTGCGCTGTTTTCACACCATCCAGAGACTTAGAACAGCGTCAGGCGAACTCAGAAATGGTCGACTGCCTGGAACTTTTTGCTGGACAAGCTCGTGTCTCCGAAGCTTTTGCCAAGAAGCGTCGGGGTGTCCTACAACCTAGAGACATCCGTTTTGGGCACGACTTTAGAAAGAGCCAGGTGAGGGCCAAGATACTGCATGAGATCAAGACCAAACGACCTGGCATGGTATGGATGGCTCCACCGTGCACTTATTGGTGTGGGTTCTCACGTCTCAATTTTAGCCCCCAGGAACGACGACGACTTCGAGCGAAAGAACAAGTGCTCATACAGTTTGTCGACGAGGTGATTGAAACGCAGAACCTCCTG